AGTACAGAGGAGGAGACCAGCCCAGGGGCAGTTTAGGGGTGCAGGCAAAACCCCACCCCAGTGTAAAGGCCAAATCAGGAAGACAGGGTGGTGACAGCACTGCTCATGGGTACTGCATGGTCACTCTGTCCCAGGCATGGCCCGAGTGGCCGCACCTTCACCCACACAGCCCTACAGGTACGCCCTGCTACTCTCTCCCTCTTCTACAGGCAGGGGCCCCCACCTCTAAACACTGTACTCTCTGTTGTTTCAGATCTATACCCAGACCTTGGAGTCGGAGCTGGACTCCCAGCCTGAGACTCTTCCTCCTGAGGCCACGGTGCTTCCATGCTGCACAGTTCTGATTCCCCGCGTGAAAGAGGAAATAGATCATCTGCATAAAATGCACTTTTGTTTCCATCTAAACAATCACCTGTCAATATTCTCATCCCAGTCACACGCTTTCCTAATTGTTCTTCCAAGCGCCCCACGTCGTTACTTTGAAAGACACAACCACAAAATAAATTAAGCCAGAAATGTCAAGCTTAACAGAGGACAAACTTATGACCCTCTGGAATTCCATTTTAATTTACACAGTCAAATTGTTTCTGATAGTTTATTCTTTCTCTTCTACAAGCCCATCTAACACTGAAACACCAATGTCATGAACCAGCTCTTTATTCAATGTAACTTTTTATTTTATCTTATATTCTACATACAAAACCCATAGCATCCTAAGAAGCAATGAGTATGTCAGAAAGTGGTCTTGAATTTCATCCATCTATTGTACAATTTTATTATCATCGCGTTTCTATTAGAAGACTTTGAATATTCTGGATAGCAAGTACAAAATAAACGTTAAGATATAATAATGGAGCTGGCCAACAAATACGAAATAAGGGTAAAATGACCTTCACTCTTGAGGTGAGAATATGAAAAACACAGAAGTGAAATTTTAAGGGAGACAAGCTTTACAGCAGAATTGGAGAGAAGTTTAAAACTACGTTTGGAGAGAATGGAAAAAAGAAAGAAGCAAATTAACTGGATAGGAAGAAAAAGGGCACGACTTTTGTAGTTTTAAAGATCACTAAGTCTGATTCACTGGTTCACTGATTCATTGATGCACAGTGGGGCATCATCGAGATGCTGACCCTATCCCCTCCCCAGAGCACTGCAGACCTAGCATTGTCCTGCCTTTACAAAGTTCCGCTGCTCATGGCTGGCCTGTCATACCTGGTCAGGAACAGACATAAACTATTCATCAAAGGGTACAACTGCTGTGCTTAGAAACAAGGCATGGAAGAAAATAAAGTCACAGTATCTCAAATTTAGAGTTTCTCTTATACAGAGAAGAAGTCAACACGTGTTGGCTAGGAAGGGATTTCAATTGTTAAAAGTCTGGTTTTTCCATACTGAATTCCAATAAATGTTCTGGAACACAATCAAGAGGCCCATGAAATGAGAAGCACTTATAGTTGACGAGGTCTTAGGACAGTCACCGGGGCAGCCAGTGTCCGTAGCTCTGACATTCTCTGAACCCCTGTTCCCCTTGGTCTTTCTTCTGGCCTGCACCTTGTCACCTCACCTGTCCAGGGGCAGCAAGGCCAATCCCCCGCAAGGACCACAAGCACTAAGCACTCCCTCTCTGCACTGTTTTACCTGGATCTGGCCCGTAACCCTAGAGGGCAGGTTCCAACTCCATTTTCAGAGAGCAACTGAAACAGTGAGGGTGGGTAGCTGGCTGGTAACAATACATTCTCAGGAGCAGGATTTCCATTCTGTGGGTTAATTTCAGCCATCGTGGGCCTCTAGCTTCCTCTCCTGAGGCAGAGGAAAATCACCTCCCCTCCATATGGGCAAAGATAGTGAGAGGAAAGCTGACGTCTCTCAAGGAATCTGCTCCTGCCTTGCCCTGACTTAGTCTGATTATAATCCATGTGGGCCATTTCCATGGACCCTGGGGCCAGCCTCCCACACCAGGAGAGCACCTCCTTCCTGCAAAAGCCAGAACAGGGACAGGGTTTTTCTCCTATTTACAGGGCCTGGGAGGTGTGTACAGATGGGAACTGTATATGTCATCCACCACTGAAGTCATACACATCTTGAAAAACATGTAGTTAAAAAAAAAAAAGTAAAACACTATGTAAATGATAAGTAAAATAATATGCAAATAACATGTAAAAAATATAAGGAGCTGTAGATAGGGTAAAAGGAAAAGAGTGAGGGTTTCTTCTCCTGAAAGACAAAGTTTTCTCTATTTACGATCATCACACTGATAAATCACACATTCTAACACGTCGTAGGCATGAACACCCCCCTTCCTTTTGTTCTGTGGCCTGGACACAAATCTCATTGCTGGGTTCCTTTGTTTCGATGGCACGCTGTTCAAGGTGGTCTCCTAGGAAAGGGGTTTACTGCAGAAAACAGGAACCCAAAACTGCATGAAGCCCCAGGACTAGCACTCCAGGGTCTGAGCGACAGAAGAGATTTAAATGTTCAGGTCATGAGGTTTTCCGTTTGCTAAACGCTAAACATTACAGAAAGTACTCAGTGCAATACATCTCATTTCCAAAAACCCCTGAAAAACACTCTACTGTTTCTCCACCTTTGTAAATCATCAAATAAGAACCCTGAATTCAAAATTCTGTTGCTGTTCCCTATTTTCTATGTACACCCATGAGGATACTTTAAACTTTTGAAGGAAGATTTACATTTTATATACAGTAGCTATGTTCTGGTTTGGGGCTAGAAGACATCCCTACTTTTTGATTAAGATATCAGTGATGGAACGTTTTCCTCTGCTCTGTATGGGAGTGAAACGTCAGGGGTCTTGGTTCCTCTGGGTTTGTGCTGACAGGTAGCCTCTTCTGAGTCTGAATTTTTTGACATCAAATCTTTCCAAAACGCCTTATATACCTCTGTGCCTTCTTCACCTGAACGTCCCTAAGGTCCTACTGACTTCTTGGTAGCTTGAGGGTCTTCCCATGGACATCAGTTACTGCTACAATGTCACTTTCCCCTTCTTGCGGGGTAAGGGGATGCTCACAGTGAAGGCTCTTAGATTATCAAGAACTGACTTGGCTGTTCAGAATCTGCCCACCCCCCCCCAACTTTTTTTTTTTTTTTTTTGCTCATTTCCTGATTCTCAGCTGTTCATTTCCGCTAGAAGCCTGGTCCTATCTGCTGTCCACTGGCACAGTGCCTTCCGGATATGAAGTGATCAAAACGTCTATTACTTAAATGGATGCGTGAATAATCAAGAGCCCTGGACGGCTGACCTAAGGGGTATGAAGTATGCCAGAATGTCCTTAAATGTGCTGTTAAGTAACAGAGGAAAGGGCTTTAAGGTCTTTTAAGGAAGACCTCAAAATGGCTTGATGATCTCACCGTCCAGTGAGCTGTGTTGTTGAATCATCTCCCCAGAGACCTCTGAAAGTAGGAATGAGAGCTCTTTCCCGACGCCCATTCCATGCTGAGTGTGGCTTTGCTAAAGTTAGAGGCATCCGCCCCCTCTCCAGGCCTTTGCAGCCTGTGGGCGGGAGACTCTCTAGCAAGCCTCGCAGTTTTCCACTCACAGGGCTCAAGCAGGGAGGGTATATGGGCCTTGCATCAGGACACTGACAGGCGAGGAGTCAGGGCTAATTTGCCAATTTCACCGTATCCTTCAAAGTAGTCTTAGTATCAGCACATGTTAGCAGAGCAACAGAATGGACAGCTTTCTTCACTGGGGCTCCTCACCAGAACCACAGATCCCAGGAGAGTCTATGAGGGCAGATCTTCCCAGTTCTCCCCAGGAGGGCATGATGCTAGCCCTGGTCTAGGTACCAGGAGAGACGTTCACTCTCGAGGGACAATGTAACAAGTCCTTCGCACAACACAGACTGGGAATTAGCAGCCCAGAAGTAGGCGCTACTTTGAAGATAATAATTATGTAGAACAGTAGCCACTGCTGGAATTCAAGTAGCGCAAAGAGTGGAATCACAGGCTTGTAAAGTTATAAAATGTTTTTATTTCAATTACATAATAACACTTACGCTTGCCTCAAATTTTATTGAGGTTTTGGTCTTTTTTGTACTCAATTATACCTTGTAACAGTGACATGAATTCTTTCATCTCATAAAGTGTCAACAGCATTCATAATGTACAGTCCTTTGTGATTTTAGTATTTTACAATTTTTTAATTTAACTTTACAATTATTTTTAAAAATGCTTCCTTGTATAGAAAATATATACTTCCTTCAGGAAGATCAAATCAAGAATTTTCCAATAATATATTGAGATACAACAAATGAAAATATTTATACCAAAATACTAAAAGTGATTCAACTATTTAAAATATCCCGTTATAGTTGAATCAGCAGTTTGTGCAAGAATGGTACCTTTCATATTTTTCTCTTGAATCAAAGACAAATAGAGAAGTAATTTAAAGGTTAAAAAAATAAATTTTAGAAATGCTCCCCTGCACAAAATCTGCATTGGGAAGTGCAATTTCAATGTATGTCTCTTCCAGAAACAAATTAAAAAAAAAAAAAAAAGACTGTATAAAATGACTTTGGTACATAATCAGCATGAAGTGAAGTTAAAATCCACAAAATGAATTCAGGTATTATCAATGAGATCAAAAGTATCAGTTTGAGATAAAATACTTAATATGAGGTAAAGGGAAGTAAGATATCCCAGTGCCTTAAGATATATTTATTTCTTATCCCTAACATGATTAATTACTGTCCTAAGGTGCAAATCTTATCACGCAGTGACCTATACACTATTGGCCATTTATCTCCTTTTGAAACAAAATACCGTATAGGTTATAACGTACACATCAAAGTCAAATACAAAAGGACATAGATTCAAATGAAGACATATTAAAAATCAGCTGTACTCACAAATCTCAGAATGCCACATTTGGTCATTTCAGTTGGATGGTGATGGCTTTGGTCAAGAGTATCAGCCCAAGGAAACGTTAAATAGCTTCATTTGGATTGTAGGCAGAAACGCGCAGTGTGTACCATGGTCTGACACGGCAGGAATGCTCTCAGGACTCCTACTGATTACAGATGTATCTTTCTTTCTAATCGGGGTGATAACCTTAATGAGGAAGAATACAGCTACAAGTAACAGTCTGTAACTCGATGTGTTGGATAGCTTGGTGGTTGACTGTCCTACGGTGCATCTATCTCCATGTGGAATGTTTTAGGAACCTCACCCAGGGGGGCAGCAGACGAGCCCCTGACCACTGGGCTTCCTGTGCAATCCTTGGCCTCTGCCCATTTACGACATGGTACAGTCTTCCTTGCTTCTGCCCTTCTCGCTTTCGCCTCTCAGCTCATCCTTGCCTTCTGAAGTGCAGGCACCCAGCTCCATGTTGGGTACCAAGTCATCGTTTTCTGCGACCTTCTTGACTCTCTGACTGGGCCCCTCTGCCATCTCATGCTGCTCTGTACTTCCCGTTTGAGGGGCATCTTCACTGTCCTTGAAGGGACCCTCACCCTCCAGCAGGGTGTTGCTGGATGCTCCTCCGCTCATTGGTTCTGGAGGACCCCTGCCATCATCCTTAGTGCCGTCTTTGATCATGGCTTCCTCTAGCTCCTTATCTCTGGCGCTTGTGCCTGATGAAGGGGTTGTGTCATCCCCCAAAGCTGATGTGTTGCCATCAGCTGTCTCTTTCCCCTGCTTAGTGTTTACATCATTGTCTTCTTGGTTAAGTGTTTCATCCAACTCAACTTTAGGATTTTCTGGACAATCAGGGTTTTCACTGCTTCCTGCTAAGCTTTCCTCTTCTGGACTTTCAGTCACCTCGTCTGGTGCTTCCACGACTGGTTTTCTGTCAGTAAGAGCTACGGGCTCATCTTCCTTCACCTCACTTAAATCTGAGTCCTGAAATGTTAACTGTTTCTCGACCTCATTAAGGGTTTCTACAGGTGCTGTTGTTTTTTTCTTCTTGTTTTTCTTCTTCTTGTTCTTTGTCTTCCTCTGTGATGAATCTAGTGCCTCTCCCTGTTGGTCATTCCTTTCTTCCTCGGTGTCTTTCCTATCTAGGGGCTCACTTTCTGCATCTGCCACAGCCAGACCTGTTGCTCCCTGAGGACCGCTTCCAGCCTCTGGACAATAAGGAACATTCTGCAATTCTGTCTGTGTTGGTTCCTCGTCCCTCAACACTCTTTCCCCATCCTCCTTTTTGTCATGCTCCCCATCTACTGCTGTGCTCTGACCTGGGAACTCCTGGGGCTCAGAGGCTTCCTGCTCAGAGAACTCTTTGTCTAGATCCCGCCCAGTGCTTGCGTCCAGCTCCGTGGGGGCTTCTGTGGCACGCTGTTCATCAAAACTCACGTTGTCATGGCTGGATGTTGGAGGGCCAGAGGCTTCTGTGCTCACCTGCTCCCCAGGCCCCATTAGCCCTGCTTCCACCACACCCTCTGTGGGGCTCCCATCTTGCTGCCCCGTGTATGCGCTGCCCAGCCCTCCGGCTTCAGATGGTTGCAGGCAATTGGATTCTGCACACAGCTTTGTGCTCCCCTCTCCCAAGTTGGCATTCAAGTATTCCTGGTTTTCTGCAGATTCTTTGCTGTGGTTTTTGATATCTAAGGCATTGTAACTGTCCTGCCCAGTCCCAGGACCTGGGGTTTCGCCATCTAACACATGAGAACATTCGGACTGCTCAAGGGAAGCCCTAGTCCTATCGCCTGGTGTGTTTCTGACCTCATCAGACTCAACCTGCTCTGTATTTTCGAGGAGGGAAGCATTCTCTAGAATCTGGTTCTGAGCCTGCTCCTCATTCGTAGCATCTGCTAATGCTCCCGGGGAGGGGGCACCATCTTCAGAGGCCTTCTGGTCCTCGGCATTTTCACCAGGGCGGAACACCTCTGTGTCCACACACTCCTGGGCTGGGTCCTCCTTGTGCCGCTCTCGCTCAGTATTCTGCAAGATTTCTTTTTTCCCCACATTCTCCACAATTTCACTTTGCACCTCCACTTCACTGGCTCTTCCTAAAAGACCATTGAGAAAATTGAAGGGACCCCATGATGTGGTGACCACTGAGCACACATCACAGCGTAAACACATGTTCTCTCACCCACCCGACCCCCTTCCTAAGGAGAGCACGGCCTCAAAGAATCACATGAGACAGAAGCCTCTGCCAAATCTGTGCGGCAAAGCACTCATCCCGTTAGCAAATGTTCCATCCGTGGAGGCCACAGCCACTGTCTCAAAGGCGGGAGTGGCAGCTGGTGCCCTCTGGTGTGACCTGATTTTCAAAGGTGCAGTTAAATGTTAACCAATAGAGCTCTGCATCAGGCAGCCAACAATCCCAAGCAATGGGCTTTGGAATGACCTAAAGCTGTTTCCAGATGCACATCCAGACCCCTCCCACCTTTCTGCCTGTCAAACTGCACTGCGCTTCACATAGGCCTAAAACCACCTTCAAGCAAGTTTTGAAAGAAAGATTCAACCCCCCTTAGGAAACTCAGCCTCAACAGCTCATGTGAGGTGAAAAGAAATCCACCCTCAGCCCCGCCATCTAATTAAGCATGGTGTTCCTGAGAAAGCAGCCTGATGCCCTTGACATGCCTTAAACACCTCTGCCCCACCCCCACAGGGGCGGAGGGTAGGGGGGTGAGGGGTGGGGGGGAGGAGGGGTGAGGGTGTAAGGGTAGCAGGGGAGGTCTGGCAGGTGGCGAGTGCTCAGGAGCATGGTGGCCACCTCATCAATAATAAGCTATTCACCAACTAAAAGAAGTACAAATTAAAAACGTTACAACTTTGGAATGAACACTTGTATCTTAGATTCTCCAAACCAACCAACCCCCAGCATATCAGATGTCATGTCACTAAAAGTCGAAGCGGGATAAAATTATTACACTGTGGTCTCCCGGAGAAAGTGGGAGAAGTAGGAGGGCTCCTAGTTAGCTTTCCTCACCCTTTAAAGATGTCTGTCAGGGAGTATGTTTTATAACACACACTTCAGATTGATGAAATAGTATGTGTATGTACAAATTAAAAATATACCTATTGGAAAGTTCCCACGATCCTTTATTGATAGGGATATGCGATCAAAAAACATCTGGAGACCACTTAGGAAAGTGCTATTTCTGGTCCTTTAAGGGTTGGTTTCCCAATAGTTCATGAAGATTTATAAAACGTATGTTTGAACAAGAGTGACGTGATCAAATTCCTAGCTGCTCACACAGCTTATACGTAGGAAACCACTCAATTTATCTTCCTTCAGCAACTTTCATGCAATCAAAAGTGTTGTGTCCCTTTAGGAGTCATCGAGATAACGAGGGACATCTCCCTAGGAAGCAAGTCCTGAGAAGCTGGGGCCTAGAGGTTTCTACATTTCCATAAATTAAAAAAAAAAAATACGATGAAATCTTCTAAATGGAAATGAAAGACATAGGCTCCGGGTGGATTCCAGCCTCACTGTCGAGCGCAGGAACGTGGCGGGTAGCAAGGGACAGGCAAGACTTACCCACCGGCTATAACTTCAGTCTGCACCCTGGTTTCAGAAGGTTCATTTTACCCAAAAGCCAAACACTATGCCCAATATTAATCAGTGAATTTTTTCAGATATTTGCAAATTGTATAAAGTATTCTTACAATTACAGGATTCCCCAATTTCTACGCTTCAGAAGCAAAAACTGACGTACAAGGGGACAACATCTCTGACAGAGGGGAAGGCACATTCAGACTCTGGTGGGTAGGACACCCACTACCCTGCCCATGCTCCCCAGCCCGGGGCTGCCTGTCCACCTTGCCCCCTACCCAGGGCCACTGAGTGCTAGCTTGAGAATGGTACCCAAGACGTACTCCATCACAACCCCCCACGTGCCGTCCACAGGCACCTCGCACCCTCAAAATACGTAACGGTGTTGGGATGTGCAGAGTCGGCTTGTAACCAGGGCTAACTATCTCATTTTATAGCCTCTGCTACTCTGATCTGTGGAGAAGTCTGTAACGGAGCAAGTTTGGAAGCCATCTTGGCACGTGGCTGAGGAAAACCAACGAGTAGCATCAGAACTGTCCCTGAATTCCCGAGATGACACTCCTTGCATTTGCGGTTTCACTTGGTGGCTTTGAGAAGCAAGAGAAACGTATTCTTCAGCCATTGGTGGTGAGCACTGCACAGAGAGGCACACCAGACAACACACGTGGGTGGTCACACCGTGTGGCAAGGGCGTTCCCAGGAAGTGGCAGGACACATGGCATGCTGTGTGAGTGTTAATTGATCAGTGATGATTATGTCAATTCTGACAATGCATGGAGGGTGAATTGATGCGGACTGGAGGATGAAAAGACCCAAAGGAAGGTGGGCACTTACCTAGTGTCCCATCCCCCGCCGTCTTGAGGGCGTTTAACTCTTCTTTCGTTAGCTTGGAAGGAACTTGGTGTCCGACGTTATTTAGAGTGTCTGAAGTCTCTCCATTGGTGGCAGGCTCTGAATTTAGGACTATTCCATGTTTCTGGGAACAAAAATGAACTTGTTGTAATACTCACGGACTCATACTAGGTTAAACTTTATTTTATTAATAATAATGAGAAAGAAATTATTTTTCTTGAAGTCAAGGAAACAGAATCAGAGAAGGGGTAGGCACCACAATCATAAATATCCTATCGACACACACAAAGCTGGGATGTCTTCCTACAAGGGTGACTTCTTTCCTGCACGTTCTGGTCCATGTCTTGATGCTCTGGTCCATGTCTTATTGCGCTGGTGACAAGATGCTGTTACCAGGCATCCTTTGTAACTGGAGGTAGGGACCTACGGGCTGCCACATGGTAGAGCAGTGGGCAAATCCCTGTAAAGTGACCTCCTTTTAACACCCTGGTTGCATTTTTGAAAAAGAGAGAGATAAAGAGATATGTGCGTGTTCCGAAAGGAATAAACACAACTTATGTTAAAGACGGAATAAAGAATTGGCTAGAATGTTTGGTGTCTTTGAGGGAAATATAATTCATGCTTACGACACTGTGAAACACTCTAAAAACAATTATACTCACTTGCTACCCTCACGCCCATGGCTCTCTCCTTGAGCTCAGCGGGGGCCCCAGTTCCAGGCTCACAGTCCAGGGAGGAGCAGTGATAGGAACCTGTTCCCTCCAGTTGACTGCTCTGGCCTTGACCCCTGACCATAAGCAGCTGACACTGATATGTCTCCACTGATGATCTTGAATTTGCCATGGCTATACCCTCTTCTTGACACGGTCTCCTATGATGTTGATAACCCACCCAGAGCCTGTTTTCCTTCACTCAGTGTCTAGCCAGCAGCTGAAGACCCCCAGACACGGCACAAACAAGACATGGAATTTTCCTCAGCCCACAGGGTCTCAAAGTCTAATTAGTGTGAGCCTCACCCACGCCACCAACCAGCTGGAAAAGTCCTTAAATTTGAACTTTTAATATAAAGAAACACAAACATTCTCTAATTTGGCGTGATGTCCAGGAGAATTTATCAAAGGGTATGAGAAAAAAAATGTATGCAGTATAAAAGAATTCTTGGAGGTCAGAGGTGCTTTTGAGATCACATATGCTTGTCAACATCTAAAGGAACGGGCAGACCCGAATGAACCCACATTCATTTTACGGGTCTCTTCAGTGTCAGTTAACCGAAGATTTGAATTGATTAACCAGAACTCAAATCAATGACACGCCATTAATTAACGCCAGTACATACGTAGAGTCATTCTTGAGAACCTGGATTTTTTTTTTTTTTTAACTCTACTTTGGCTTCATACCTTTAACTCCTCTTTCAGCATGACTACTTCTTCTCTAAGATCATCTCGGTCACTCCTTATGGAATCAAAGAACTCTTTCTGCCTCTCTAAAGCCTGAGTGTGAGCGGAGAGAGAGAGAGAAGATTCACATGGGTGAGAAGGTGACTAAAGCAAGAACAAGGATTCCACTACATGGAAAACCACCAGAGTTAAAGCATTGTGTAGAATACGTTCAGGAGACAGACAAAATGCGAGTACTGAGCTTCTCACAAATTTATGGCAGCCAAGGAACGTTGCCTCCTGCTCCCTTAAAGGCATTAAGAGATGCCTTTAAGGGAGCACTGCCTTTGCACTGCCTGTGCACAGCTTTCCAGCTCAGTGAGAGAATGAACACAAGCCATGCACCCACTCGGATGAGAGACAAATGAGGAATAAGAAGAAATGCGTAAGAAACCCCAGGTGACGACTTGGGCTATCTTTCTACATCAATTCTTGGTGTTTGTTGTCACAAACGTCAAGTGATCTTAAAGCGCACACACGTGTGCACGCTCAGCAGTCCTAAACGAGCATGGGTGAGGACATAGGGGGAAAACCAGCACGGCCTCACGTGGCCTGTGCACTGACGCTGTGCTCCAGAGATCTGCATCAGAGTGGGGCAGGGTGGGCTGCGGGGTTTTGAAAGTCCTTTGTCATCAGGAAGCATGGCCGGCCCTCTAAGTGGGCTGCTGTCTTCCTACTTATCACTCCTAAAGGCAGGTGGGTTGCAGTGGCTTTTCTTTTTGAAGAAGAGGGAACTGGGGCCTCCAGGGGGACACATCCAGGAGGGAACATGTGGGGATAGCACCTGCCACCTTGCAGCTTCCTCTGATGCCTTTAAGAAAGGCACAGGCCCCACCACACAGAGAATCTGAGGGGCCTGAGCTTCCCCATGTCCCACCTGCCCCGCGGTGCCTTCCCCGCTCCTTGCATCTCGGGGTGCTGCTGGCCCGCTTGGCACAGGCAGAAAGCCCAGTTAGCCTCAACAAGATGCCTGCCCACCCCATGTCGGACGCCCACTTCAAGGTCAGAGTTACTGTGGGCTTGAGTAAGCGAGTGCGTTCTCTGTGTCACTAGTCCTGTGTCACACGAGGGCACATGCACGCTCACACACGCATTTCTGCACCTGCATGCAGACTGCCCCTGTGGCCCTCCCACAGACTTGGGAGGCCTACCCCTATCTTCTTGTCTTTCCACTCTATTGTTTCCTGAAGATCAGAAATCTCCCTGATATAACTCGCCTGCTTCTGCTGTAGCTGTCGGATTTCCTGAGGAATAGGAACAGATAGAAAGAAAGCAGAGAGGGGGTTAAGCAGGAAGACCGAAGCGCAAGGCTTGATAATCCAAGAGCTGTAACTGCTCATGAGCCCACAGACCCGTGCCAAGGATGTACCAGCCCCATTTCCTGCATCAGCCCACATCCCTCTCTGCACGCCAGAACTGCTTCCTCAGCTTGGTCCCCAGTGGCCAGAGGAGTGGGCAGAGACCCTGCCTGGGGGACATCCTTACTTACAGGCACTAACTCGTTCAAGTTAACAAGTGAAAAAGTCAGAACCAATCTTGTATCATTTTCCTATTGCTAAGGTCACAAAGTACCATTAATTCAGCAGCTTAAAGAAAACATGAATTCATTCTCTTAGAGTTCTGGAACTCAGAAGCCCAAACTGAGTCTGATGCACCAGAATAAAGATGCAGGCAGGTCTGGGTTCTCTTTTGGGGGCTCTAGGGCAGAACCCACCACATTCTTTGGTTCATGACCCCTTCCTCACATGGGACCAGCCTTGAGTCCCTCTCCCCCTATCTCTTGCTGCCTCTCTTGCCTCCTTGCATAAGGATCCGGTGATGAGAGTGGGCCCCCAATAACCTAGGGTCACTTCCCCATCACAAGGCCATTAACTCCACCATGCCTACAACGTCCCTTCTGGCATGTGAGGTGCCCCAGCCACAGGTCCTGGGGATTGGGACGTGGACATCTCAGGGGCCATCATTCCATCCTCCACGCCTCCCGATACAAACACAAAGCCCCCAAGGAATGAAACTCTTCACCAATGAAAGGAACTATTTTCTTTAAGTAAGGCATGGAGCATTTGCCTAAACTCTCCATTTTCAAGAACATGGCTAAGTTCCATAACGAACCCCCAAATACTCCTAAGACGCAGGAGGAAAAGCGAACGAGGGAGCGCTACCCACCTCCAACAATTCTTCCCGCTGCTTCAAGGCCTCCTTCACTTCGGCAAACTGGAACTGCAGGATGCTGTGGGCGTGCTTCTCCCTCTCAAACTCCTACACGGGCAGGAAAGAGCACAGACACAGTGACCGCACCACACTCTCTGCCTTTCAAGTTCACGTTCCCATGACTTACACTGACCTTGGAACAACTACCTATCACCAGTCATCACAATTTTCAAGGCCTCTTTAGCAACACAAGCCCGCTTCTCTGGACTTTCTGATTTCCTGTAAACTTTGCCTGCTGACCTGGTGCATCAGACAGGTGCTCCCTGACTCTTTTCAGGCCAACAGGGGCCCAGGGGGCCCCTTTCTATGGAGGTTCTCTGTGCGGGGGACCTGGAGGAAGCAGCTGCATGAAGGACTTAGGATGGAACTCGCTCTGATTTTGAAATCTGATTAGGAATACTCTTTAGCATAAAAAGGGGGGTAAACACGGTCTACTTTGGCAAGCTTATTAAGCGGATGGCCAACCCTGTACTCCAGGGCCCCCACTCCAGGGCCAAAAGCCGCTCCCCTAGTCCGACCCTCCCCCTTCGCCCCTGACATGGCAATACGCTCTTCTGGTCTCTGGCTCGGCTCCGAACCTGCACCATCCCTGAGGATGGGCTGGTACCCAGGTTTAGGACAGCGGGGAATCCCCCTCCCAGGTCAGTAAGGAGGTTATTCTGGGAGAGATGTGCCCTGCGCTTTTCACCCTGGCCTCACCTGCTCACCCACTTTCTGAAGTCTGAGGGTGCAACAAGGACCTGCCTATTGGGCTCTGCTTGGTCCCTGTTCTCCAGCTTGGGACAACATTCCAGGATCATCCAAATTCTCTGGAATTAGATTTGAGGGTTCTCGGTCTGTTTCCTGATGCCTGGCTGATGACATCCCAGGAATATTTAGGAAGCATTAGCATATACTGCCCACAAGTGGGGTCCACAGTGTGCGCTCTGCTCCTATAATCCTATAATCTGTCATCATCAGGTCTCATGGGAAGCTTCTCCTTTGTTTCAGAGTTTGGCTCTCAGGAACTTCATCAACAAAATTCTTCTTGAGCTTCTAAATTCTATAGCAGTCAAAGAAGGAGACCTTTGAGTTGTTAATGGCACTTTGGTTTTTAACCCTTGGGATCTGGGGGATAAAGCCAGTTTAAAAAGAAAAAAAGACAGTGACTCTCACAAATTAAATTTTCTGTTTATCTCAACAACTCTGGAAAACTGGACAATATTCTAGGGTTTGATAGACCAACTAACTCTTTAAACTATGAAAAACAAGTATTTCTTGCTTTATATCCTACAGAGAACATCTAATTAGTCTTCTGTCATTGATTTCAATGCAGGCTCAGACTTCTCACTGCTATCATAAATTAATTTAGCTTAATGAAGTTATGTAACTTTTAAATGGAATAAAATAAATGAATATATTTGCAACTGGCTATTTCTTGGTGGTGTTAAGAGATAACAAAAATCCAAGAAATGTGTATTTATTAACAAGAACATCTTTTTTTTTTTAAGATCTTATTATTAAGTCATCTCTACACCCAACGTGGGGCTCAAATGTATGACTCCAAGGTCAAAAGCTGTAGACTCTTCTGAGCCAGCCACCCCAACAGGAGAATCCTGGAGTACCCAGTTATGTCTATCCAAACATGTGGGTTCTCTACAGGCTTGTTTTTTCCTGGTCATGACTTTATCTTATGTGCAAAACACACGATGTTTTCCCTATAAAATTGTCTCTAGTTTACAGAGCGAAATTGTGCATATTAATATTTCAAAGCCCTTAGTAAAGAGCATGGCATTCTTATTCACAGATGTTGGGGCTCCTGGACAAGTGGAGAACGGTCATTTTAAAAAAATGACGACATCTACACACATACACACTCCCCAGATGCACTGTATACCACACACACACACACACCCATACATAAACACACACCCCAGACACACCATATAACACACATACCCACACCCACACCCACGCCCCTTAGACACATTGTATACCATATACATACATACACATACACACCCCTCTAGACATGCCATATATTGCACACACACATGCACACACGTCAGATGCACTGTATACCACATACACACACCCATACCCCCCAAATGCGCCATATACCACACACACACACACACACACACACAGCAGACGCACTGTATACCACACATACACACACACACAAAACCCCAGACACGCTGTATAGCACACACACACACACACACACACACACACTCCACTGTCCTCTTTCACACTGATGCTTACTTTGTTTTTCTCATCATACTGCCGTCTGGACTCAGCCAGCTGCTCTTCAAGCTCTAGCAACATGTCCTTTAGGGTATCAACCTGGTACAGGAAGTTTGTCTTTTCATTGTCCAGCTGAGCGTTGGAAACCATAGCCTTCTTATACTTCTCTTCCACTTCTGCTAGTGAGTCCTGCAGAAACCATGTCGTGTTTTTGAAATTGTGTAAGAGAACAAAAACAAAGATTAGTTCAGCAGTCTTCGAAAAGGGAAAAAAAACAAACCCCAAAACCCAAGAAAACCCTGCCCTTGTTTTAGACTTTATTTCTTAGGGCAAATGGATCCGGATAAGACACACATGACAATTTCAAATGCACAGACATTCCCCCCTTTCAATGCAGTCAAATTGGTTATTAACCACTCAAGAGTATTAGTCATTAACTCAGAAAGTTAGTTCTTAGTTGTGACTGGAGGAAGATGGCTTCCACGGCCATCAGTGCAAGGGAGACATGTGACAGGGAGGCTCTGGGCCTAACCCTGGGACCTGAATCCGTGACTCAGGGGCGCCCGTCAAAACGGCTTGGGCCGTTCTGGTTTCTGAAGTTGTCCCTCAGGAAATGTGACCAGGATGCCGGAAAGAGCCAGTGGGTGTCGGGTGAGAAAACACCTGTCCCCAGCTGCCGGCTGCCCTGGCTGGGCTTGGGAACCGGGAAAGGATTACATGGAATTTTGTTTCCACCTACGGACGACTCAACAAGCTACACATGTCTCACTGGGTCAGTCCTGGAAGGATGGAGGGCATTCCTCTGAAAGGACAGCCATAGTGAGAGAGACCTACAGAGGAAACACAGCTCTCCCACAGCTCACACCCTCGTTGGCCAGGCAACGGGGGAGTGTGTCTGTCCCCAAGCACAGATCCTGGGAAGGTGACCGCAGGACAGGGAGGGTGAATCCCTAGGGTGGGTGAACTACCCAAAGTGAAAGAGAGATGGGCACTGCGTGGTCAGGCCCCTGAGGAGGCCTCATGGAGCCCCGGGCTGTGCTCGCCTATGCTCGTGAACCAGGGTGGCGGTTCCCAGTGGGACCCCCTTCTCACCGCGCATTCAGAGTCAACTGTAACATCCCCCTCTCTTCAAGGAGAGGTGACAAGCATGCCAGGGATTGATTCATTTTAAAACCAGCGTAGCCTCTGGTTGGTGTTCCTGTGATAGAAAAGTCAGACTATTCTGGAGGGTCCTCTCTGGGGGGATGAAGAGGAAGTCATAGGCTTACCATCTAGCACGAGATCTACAGAGAACACAGTCTTCAACGACCCACCTCACCACCGAGGAATACGGCCACTACATTTCCTGGCTGGCACGAGGCCATGACAACACATTCTTACTGTCATGCGTTCTTGCTCAAATAAATCCAGGAGGGTACACGCTGGAACGCTGCTTCAGCTAGCGAAACTCTACAACATGCAAGCAAGTACTCTGGGTGTCTCAGAAACACGGCAATAAGGACTGGCTTCCTGGTGGCCGTCCAGCCCTTAGAGATGAAAATTAAGTGAAACATCGTTTGTAGGGAACTAGGGGGAACAAGAAAGAAAACCCCGAAAGTCTTGCACGGTACACTCTTGTGGGAAGTGAGAAGAAGCTGGGTGTGGACCGGGGAAAGAAGGTGAGTCCAAAACATGCATCAGGAAGTGTGTTAGTAAGTCATCCTCCTAAGGGCCACCGGGCTCAGGGCTCCGTTTAAAAGCTGCGTCAGGGAGGCTGCTCAGGCCATGAGGCCCCGCCCGTGCCCCTGCCCCCTGGAGTTCTGCAGCCTGGAGGCTCCTGAGGGAGAGCATGCTGTCTGCGTGCCTTCTTCAGGGTTTTCTGAAGTTAAGCTGGGTTAACGCCATCAGCCCACACTTGTGTAAACTGGTACCTTCATCTCTTTCAAGCCCTGCATGTATTTGCCTTCTACGTCCTGAATCTGGTCCTTTAACTCATTCAGTTCCTAGGAATTGGCAAAAGAGGCTAATGATATCGGGGGGAGAAAAGTGATCACGAATGCAAAAAAAGAGAAGCCATCCTCTAAATCTTTTTTGCTTTTGGGTCGTTGCCCTCATCTGGGGAGTCTGGGCAGTGATTTTCTTTTTTCTTTTTTTTTCAAGTGTTGAAGGAAAATAAAATGAATTTCAAAATCACAAATGCTTAAAATTGAGGCCTATCTCATATGATATTTCCATAAAATTTTACAAAATGTAGGTCTGTGTCCTTGCATTTTTGCACAATTTTATAAAATAGGCAAAAGAGGTTCCCCCAAATGGAATGGGTTCTTTTATTCCTATTTCATAGCTCGCTCAGGCTCTCTGGGTTGCTGCCTGGTGCTAGACAGAGTGAAATACTGAAGATGGGACTCAGCCGGGCTCCGTCCCTGCGTGTACAGAGCTCCGCAACTTGGCTCCACATGCCTGGGGCCTGGAGTCTGGCCTGAGCTACACTCTCAGCACACACTCGCCGAGCGGATGGACGGTGCTCTCCAGGCCAGGAGCAGAGACGAATCAGGGCTGCTCGCAGCCAACTGCTCTTGGACGTAGTGAAGAGCTTCGTTGGAGGCCCAGGGAGGGCGCATGGATGTTTTAGGAAGAGCGGCCCACAAAAACTGTTCTTACAAAGCACAAGACTTTGAAGACACTTCCGGGGAGACCGGACCCTGCCCTGGCTGCTGCTGCGTCCCTTCTCTGACCTCCCTGGCAGGTGGCCATCTGGCTTTCAGATACTATGGGCACCTTTGCACCAGTTTTAATTATTAGAAAGTTCTTCCATCAACAAAGCCAATTCTAGTCCTTGACGCTTCCCCCTTGGGCCTTGGTTCTGCGCTCCAGGGGACCTAAGTTCCCGTTGCCTGAGGTTCCTAGGACTGTTTTTGTCTCTTAGACACTCAGAATGGCCCCCCACCCCATCGAGTGGTGAGTTTGGAGCACAGAAGAGTGCTTACACTCCAGTAGCAGGAGGAAAAAAAAAATCACTGGAACACAACAATGATCTATTCAAGGCAGATTATGCATACCACGGATGGGAAGAAAGACCATATTCTAGGCAGGGGAGGGGACATTCAAAGGGCAAGGTGGTGTTTTTGGGAGCAGTGAGTAATCTGGTGTCCAAAAAAAATGGAGACCATTCCAAAAAAAATGGAAGCCACCTGTCTGTGCCTGCCTGGTGTACGGAAGTTGGCTGAGCACCATAGGGCTGCGGGGCGAAGGCCTCAGCAAGGTGTGCTAGATAGCCTGGGGAGCGCAGAGGGCACGGGTCTGCCCAGCCGGGTTGGAGGGAGTGTGGGGCGCGGGTGGGGTGGCTTCCCGTGGGAGACGCCATCTGAGCTGGTGTTTGTGGGACTAGAACAAGTGTTTATGGGATGTAAGGAAGACTGGTCCCAGAAGAAAGATCCAGAACCTTACAGATTTGTGCTCGAAGACTAATTTTCCTCAGAGGTCCTCTAGGTCACAGGCAGGTTGGCAGCCTTACCTTGATTTCCCTAATGGAGGCCTCGGTGTCCACAGAGATGGAGGTGTCCCCACTTCCCCTCCGAGAGGAGGTCCCGCCGAGGGAGGCCAGGGTGGCTGCAGACAGGCCGGGCAGGCCACGCGAGCCCTGGGACGCCACAAGAACCAAATGTTATTTCAGACAAAACCAGAGTTCCCTGAAAGTGTACTGCGATGTTGTCAGATTCCCTAGGGGCTTATTGGAAAGCAATCAAGAGAGGGTCCCTTTGAGGGGCCTCATGGATGCCTGAGAATCAGTCGGGGTCCACCTCATGCCCATGCCTGGCCCACGGGGAACCTCTGCTCTTTGCAGGGTGTGACACCCATGCTGGAAGTGACTCTGGGGTGACCCCCTGAAGGAAATGGTGTGGCACACATGTCCTGTTCCCTCGGGCCAGTCTCTTCATTCAAGATTAACCAATGCATTCTCTTGTCAGTTTCATCCACGCACGTGGGGGCCCTCGTGGTTTATCAACAGCACAATGTCAAGGCTTCCAGAAATTCCTTACCTTCTCGGTGAACTCTTTCTCTGGTCTCTCTTCAACCTGTGGAGGAAAATGGACAAATACGAAATACTTAAGCACATTAAATGGATAATATGGGTTTAGAGGGTAAGACGGTCACACGACATTAGCTTCCTTTGTGATTTAAAAACTGCTTTGCCAATGAAACCTGTGGATCTACTAGAGCCAGGCTGTTCCAGGCACAGTGGGGGCTCACGGACAGCTCATGGGGCCCAGCGTGAACTTTACTGGGTGGTTTTTCCACGTTGTAACTTCCACGGGAACACGACGTCTGAACGGCATGAGTAAACTGACCACAGGAAGCTCCTCATCAGGGACTTGTGAATGAACCCCATCTGCACAGGGCTCCTGCAGAGCTTCCCACAGTGCTGCGTGTTGGTGCCCATGCGGGGGATGAGGACAAGCTTCCAGCCTGCTTCCCGCCACCCCCCAGCCCCCCATCGCTATGGTCACAGTAGAGAGTGGGACCAGGCCTCTCGCTGCCCAGGTCTGGAAAGCAGGAAGAAGCAGTGGAGCCATTACAATTCTTCCTCCTTCTCATGAATAATGGAGCCAAAGTGAAGATTCTGGTTGAACCACCTTGGGACTGATGCCCAGATGCGGGGAGCTGGCGGCGGGGCCAGGGGGGTGGCGGCACAGGAAAACCTGCCAGGTGAAAAGGGAGAACCCAGAATCTGGCTATTCGTGAGGCTGTCTGTCCCTTCTTCGGGCAGGACTCTCAGGGGGACCCAGGGCAGCCCACGGAGCCCTGGCATCGCCCCTAAGGGACGCCATGCGTCTTGGAGGAGCCTGGGGGTCAACGGGCTGTGGCCGGCACTGGGGCTTCATCTTTCTTTGCTGAGCATCCTACAAAGGCCAACTTCTTCTTTTTTCTGCACATTGAGGGCTCCTTTCCATAAGCCCATCGGGAAGGTCACAGAGGGTGAGGAAACCTCTGCCTACTGTCTCCAAACCTCTGGGGGAAGCTGAAAGCTACTCAGGCCTTTCCTAGCATGTCTCTGATTGCCCTTCCTATAGCTCAGATGTTCTTAACTCTGACCTCCAGGGAGCCGAATACAGACCACAGTTCTGCCTCAGTAGACCTAGCGGGCGGCCACAGGCGCTGCTGCTGCCCTAGCACATTCAGCCACAGATATTCCAGACACAGGTCGAGGAACCCCGATGGAGCTGCGTCGGAGGCTCACGGACACGCAAAGAGCCCACAAGGAAGCTGGGCTCGGGAGAGCATGAGGGTGTAGGGACGAAGCACTGGTCGGGACACCGGACAGGCAGTGATCTTCTGTGAAGACCGACACTCCCTGTCTGGTGCCCACCCTGGGCCCACATGGGCTGGATGCTCAAGGCCTCACCACCCCTACCACATCCCCCACAAGGCTCACTAACAGCTAACTTCTCTCCTCCAAACCCGTCACACCTTCACCTTTCTCTTCCAGGGCAGGACATCTGAAGCAAATAGGAAAATAAGATGGCAAAGTGTAAGACCGAGTCAGCCCACCAGGAGGCTCAAATGGAATCCCAAAGAATACTCGATTAATCCAAAAGAAGGTAATTTCCAAAACCAGCTCCGAGCTTAGCCAAGCTCAAGTGTCTCCTGCTCATAAGATCCAAGTTCAGCCCTGGGGTCTCATTCCCGAAGCCACCCCATGTGGTCTCCCCAACTTGGGTCTTCAGCAAGAACTCCCTGTTTTCATTTTATTGGTCTTCTTACTGTCCTCCGAGTAGGAGAGGAAATGAGAGCGAAGTGGGATGGATCAGGTTCGTGGGATGGATCCAAGGGCAGACTGGCCTCCCTCCCTGTCTGTTAAATAAGCCATTCATGAGGGGGCTTTGGATGCTAGTCCTGCCCCGCCCAGAGGACTCTCCTTGCCACTAGGCCACACTGGTTGTCCTCGGAGAGCCTGTGCCAGCCTGTGCGTCTCACAAGAGCTTCCCAGGCAATCTCAGCCCATGTGTCCTTCTCCACTCCTTGATGTGGGCTGGTCGCAGCCCATTAAAGACAGCTGGCTCTCCAACTGTGTGCCATGCCTCCTGCCATTTGTTGGCATATGTATTTTGTGGGTGTGAAAACCACACCCCAAATTATCCTTCTTTCCAGATGTGTGTGCCACATCAGCCTGAGCAGATGTTCTGTGGGTCTGAGGTGGCCTTTGGCCAAGAAGGTTCTAGCTCCCTGCCCCTGGCAGACCCCCAAAGAGCCCCGGGCTAGTGTTCTCATTGTGATGCTGTCAGCATTTCAAGTGTGGTTCTTCTCTCCACTCGGGAAGAAAAATATTCCTGAAAACTTCAAATCACTGAGGAAAAGCGGACTAGATAGCAACTGGTTTGCAGGAGAATCAGTGTATTAAGTCTCCTGGGCCCGAGTCCCTCACTCCCTAGAAGCAGTACGTCTATGGAACACGTACTCATGAGATGGAAGGAAGGAAGGTAATTTAATTACTGGTCGAACATGAAGAGCCAGCGTCAGACTCTCAAGTCGCTGCTGAGAAGCTGGCTGCTTTTTGCCTCTACAGGTTACATAGAATCTTTTCCAAATGCTTGTCAGCAGCAGATAAATATTCTGTATATAAATGAAAGTCCAGAGATCCACCTACGGAGATAGCTGTACCCGTACAAGAAGGACTCCATGTTTTTTAGTTTTTCTTGAGATAACGATGAGGAAGAATACAGATCAATCCAAAAAACACTGGTTCGGGGGGGGGGGGGTGTCCTTTAACACCTGCTGTGCTCTGCACTGTTCCCCTTGATACCATCAACATAAATATTACTTTTGTAATTTGCAAAACATAAGGAAGAAAAAAACCCCTAAAACCATAGCTAGCTCTTTAGTTTTCAAAAAAAGTTTAAAACTAGTTTTTAAAAAAGCCTTTGCTCAGAAATACATAATGAACTCAGAATGGGAACGTCTCAAATGTGTTTTTAAGTAGAGACCTGTTGGGGGGGTTGCGGATGAAACTCTCGAGTGTTATAGCCACTCTCTGCCTAACTGTTGTTTCCAATCTCTTGTGCATACATTAGGGTAAGTGCCTTCAGTCCATTTCTGAATGACAGAGGATACGTGTGACAGGATGAGGGGCCCTATGAAGGCAACCCTGCAGCAAGGAGCTGTTGCAGTCCCCAGAGCTGCCACTAGATGGCAGCCTGTATGGCACTAAGCAGGCCGGCAGGGAGCTGTCCCCACTTCATAAAGCATGCCTCATCCTCCCCTAAGCAAAGGGACAGATAAGGAACCCAGGGGATGTGTTTAATTTTGACATAAAACACGGCACTTTAACCTCTGAAAATAATACAGAAAGACACAGAATTGAAAAACATTCTGAATCCTGTCCTAGTCACGACATGACACTATGTGGGCGGGGGGCACCACAGGGCAGACACGTGGCAGAGCGGGACCTGGGAAAAGCTGTCACGGGCACTTGCTTCGAGCCACTGAGACCCATACCTGCGCGGGGCCAGGGCCGAGCCACAGGACCTCCGTGAACACCGGTGTCCGAGTCCAGCGCCCACACCCCTCAGGCCTTCACTTTGTCATTCCCCTGAACCAGCAATTCTAAACCTTCTAGGTGTGCATGAAAACAAGTGTGTCCCAGCATTTTACAATCAAAACTGAATGTACATAAAGACAGGTTTTTAAATCAACTAGAAATAGTCACTTTAAAAACATTTCTGTTGAATTTTAAATTATGGCCACTCTTCCTCTCAAAAAAAAGTCCTCTCAAGTGATCCAAGTAGCACATTAAGTACTTCATGAATCCCAGCCTTTCGACGTCATGTCTACACAGGCATACTGCCTGGGCTCCCTTCAACACCACGTCTGCCGAGGCCCACAGTTCCCGGCCTACCCACCTGCCTAGAGACACGACACAACACATGAGCATGGCCGGACTCCGGCAGAGGAACTCCTTCTCACAGTGTCCTCAGCTCCCACCGCACAACCTCAGAACCCAGACACAAGATGGGACCAGAGAAGCTGTGTCCACACACAGTCCCTCTCAACAACAAACTGACAATAGTGACCACTCCTCAGAAAACAGAAAACAGGGCACCTGGGTGGCTCAGTGGGTTAAGCCTCTGCCTTCAGCTCAGGTCATGATCTCAGAGTCCTGGGATCGAGCCCCTCATCGGGCTCTCTGCTCAGCGGGGAGCCTGCTTCCCTCCCTCTCTGTACCTGCCTTTCTGCCTACTTGTGATCTTTCTCTGTGTGTCAAATAAATAAATAAAATCTTAAAAAAAAAAAAAACCAGAAAACATTTTAAGGGCAATTTTACTTCAAGTAGTCAAGTAATTAAGTCTTCCATTGGTGTGGAAATTTTGTTTTTTCATTCAATAACACTGATGTTCTCCTGAATGACTTATCCTTGGACACCTGGATTCATAACACATGACCTGTGCTTCCACCTGCTGCCCCTGCCTCTCCACACAACATTAAACACGGGTCACTGCAGTCTCTTGTATTTCTGGCTAAACCAGCTGGAACTTCCAGTTGTCACTCATATTTGCTCTAAACACACACAGGAACACAGATCTGGGCTTGGCTTGGGACATCTCTGATGGATGTGTCGGCGTCCCCAGGCGAGGACCTCTGCGTGGGTGTGCTCGGGCCAGGACCACCAAACCTCCCTATCCCAGCTCTCAGAGCTTCCTGCATCTCTCCCTGGGAGTTCATATCATATGTGTGCCCGTGTGCTGCCTGTCTCCTCTAGTCTATGCATCCCTGAGGGCTGGAATAGGTCTGCCTGCTCACCATTGCAATGCCATGCCTAGAACACCTAGAGCCCAGGTGCTCAGTAAACACTGGCTGAAAGAACCGCAGCTTCCCTCAAGGGGAAGGCCCCACACCTGTTGGAGAAGAACTTACGGGTTATCTACAGAATGGGAACGACATGACTGAGGTTCTGAGGTGGGCCAGGCATCTGCTGAGAGGGCCAAGGGCCGGGGGACGTCTCTGGATGCTGAGGCACCGTTATTTTCTTCAAGTGGGCCGAGCTACCCCTTCCTCCATTCTGGTTACTTTTGCTCTTTAAGAGTGCTCCGCCCCCATGCCCGGGGCACCTGCCTTTCCTCCACACCCAGCTGTCCCTTGCCCCAGTCCTACTCCCTTCTCAGAGAGGCTCCTGTCCCCTGCCTGCCCTCACACTCCCCTGGATCCACATTCCTGATGAATCACCGGGCCATGGACCACTCCCCGGGAGCCACAGGAGCACTGGCAGGAGCCGTCAAGGCCCAGATGGGGCAGGAGGATGGCCCATCCCACACAGACTGCAAGATGCTGACCTTCGCTCGTGAAATGCGCTGACGGCTCGGCAGACGGCTGACCTTTGTAAATGAACAGTTGTCTCGGGGAAGAGAAACGATAACTTACGGAAGCAGTTACATTTACTGGGCTGTAAACACCGAGAATTAAATGAGAAAGAGCCTGAGGATCAGAAGGGCCCGCCAGCCCTGGAACCCCTTGCTTTTCCCCCTGGATGGTGCCTGGAGATGCTCCGAGGCTGGGGCTTGGAGTCTGGGCGTAGCTGGGGCCAGGCCTCTCCTGGCTGGCCGGTGATGATCCCTGGGTCCCAGGGGCCTGAGCATGTTTAACGCCGCCTCTCTGGTTACTGTCACCGACCGAACCTGTTGTATGTGGGTACATTTTTCACAGAGATTGAAAGCATAAGACACCAAACTTTGTGTCTGATCTCGACCTCTTCGGTCTACGTGACTAGATGAAGTCCTCTTGTCCTATGACTTCGTCCTGAGGCCTGAAGAGAGACCCAGAGCAAGTCAAATCATCATGGCCTTCATGACTTCGTGCTTCTGGGGAGCCGGCCCCAGGGGGCTCGTGATTCTTCGAAGGGCGGGCCACAGCCGCCTTCTGTCAAGTGCAAATACTTCTATTACTTCCCCAAACATGAGTGAGTGTGAGAGAGCATCACGCCTAAGAAGACTGAGGCTCCGTTCAATTCCCCACAGGAAACGTTTCTCCCCAGTCGCTGCAAGGCTCCCCGTGGATCTGCGTATGCGTCCTGTGCTACCCCAGGGAATGGAGGGCACCCCAAAAAGCAACTTGCCCGATTTAAAAACAGATGTTATGTGCTGTTGAATAAGATGACCTTCCTATTCCTGCTGGATGGGTCATCGGCGGAGCCATGAGCCCCCGGGCTGCATGCCGCGTCTGCCACCACACCTTCCTTCATGCTCCTCAGCGTTCAGGCTGTGGCTGCCCTGGTCTCCTTAGGACCGGGCTCCAGGGGCTCCCCTGGCCGTGAGGGTGGGTGGCTGGGTATGTGAAATGGGTAGGATGCAGGGACAGGTGCTCATGTTGACAGAGCGGGGTGTCTGCATTTCTATAAAGCACTAGGCTGTCCTGTTGTACAACAGGGTCCCGGGTCTGCATTCTGTTTCCTCACCCTCCACATATACATGGTGGCGAGGATCACTCCCCCTCATCGGATAAGGCCAGCGCAGGCCCAGGGATGAATGGCGCTGGCCTCGGCCTTGGAGTCAGGGACCACAGAGCATGGGGCAGTGTGGCCACCCCACCCGGCGATTTGGGCTTGGCTGCCAGCAATCCCTTTACCCTTCCCTAGAAGCAGCCAGTGTCTGCATTTGCATGAAACATCAATGCTCGAAAAGACTACCTGATTTCAAAAACAAGCAGATCACCAGCAGCCAACAGGTGCATCTGTGCCCACAGGAGACCGCGGCTCGGTGGCCTCTTCTCTCACCACAAGGATCACTCCCCGAATCCAGACCTCCACACATCTAACCACGGAGCCGTACCACCAAGCTGAGGGCCACAGAACACAAGCTTCTCTGTCATTGGGGAGTTGAGCAAGAGACCCGCTTTGCCTGCTTGGCCTTCCTGTAGTTGGGGTTTATCAAGGAGGGTGCCCTGGCCTTTAGTGTGGCAATCCTTAGCTGCGTGGGGCAGGCTCGCACACCACACGGCCCCAGCTCCTGCCCCCAGACACTGTGCCAGCCCACCCACTCACAGGCGTCCCCTGGGCAACTGGCCTGCATGACCTCATCATCAAAAGAAGGTACAGTTGGGGCGCCTGGGTGGCTCAGTGGGTTAAGCCGCTGCCTTCAGCTCAGGTCATGATCTCGGAGTCCTGGGATCGAGCCCCGCATCGGGCTCTCTGCTCAGCAGGGAGCCTGCTTCCTCCTCTCTCTCTGCCTGCCTCTCTGCCTGCTTGTGATCTCTCTATCAAATAAATAAATAAAATCTTTTTAAAAAAAAAAAAAGAAGGTACAGTAGCCTCGTACAAAGCATCAGATGAAGAGAAATCGTCTGAGATTGCAAAGACCCTGGGACAAATGCAGAACAAGGACATGGAAAGGCTGGGAACTAGGGGGTGAGAAACGGGAGGGCAGCTCTGTAGTCTCCCCGATCCCGAACAGTGGGAGAACTCATGGGAAAGTGGGAGCAGTGGCCTTTCCAGGTGATACTTGATTTTAAAAAGCCACCTGGGTCCACTAACAGATGACATTACAAACAAAGTTATAGGCCTATCCTTCTGACTTTTAAGTCATTAAATAAATAAATAAATAAATGAACCCACACATCCACACACCTGGCTACATCTCCCCCCAGTGTACAAAGTGTCCCTCCTCCCAGGCAGCCCCAAGCCCTGTTAACTTCTTACGCGATCCTTTAGAAATGTAGCAACGCAATTCTGCTATCATGGAATAGTAGTATTAGAAATCTGGAAGCATTTTCCCCAGTTGCGTTTCTGCTCAGACCTGGAGTAAACCCCAGAAAAGCCCTCCTACTTTAGGCTGCACTAGGGCCCTTTGGAGGCAGAGGGTTCCTTCTGCAGGGCAGCGGAGTGAAGAGCAGAAGGGCAGGGTAAGGAAGGAGGAGAGAGGGTGTGAAGCAAGAGGCACACTCACCACTGGGCTGGCCCGTGCTGAGCTGGCTCTGGACGAGGCTCGGGAGCTGGAGTTGAGGTGGCCGCCGTGCTCCGAGGGCTGCCCACACAGCCGCAGCCGGAACGCAGACAGAAACAAAGGGACAGGGTCAGCAGAGCTACTGGAGTGTGAGCAAGGAGGTCAGCCGCGCGCCAGGCAGAAAGGACAGGGGCGAGTGCGAAGAGCAGGCTCCCCTCGCAACAGCTGCAAATACATGCCCGCTAAGGACAGAAAAAAATTAGTCACAATATCAAAAGAACACAGGATTCTTGGTTAGTGAGAAGAAAGCCACGCAAAGCGTCTGTTCAGCCCGGGAGGGCAGTGATGCCTGGTGCAGGCACAGATAGCCCCGGGGCCACGTGGAAACAACAGTCAGGGTGCGCGGCTTTCCAGCGGTGGGGAAGTTTGCTTCGTCTCCCTTTCCAAGGGAAAACAAAGTTAAGATTTAGGGTTCCTCCAACATCAGGCACAGCTAGTTCAAAGCGCCGGGTGACCTGGCTGGGGTGCCTGAATGAAGGTTTTATCTGTCTCTCTCCACCTGCCTGAACATTCTCTCTTCCAGCAAAAGAAAACACCTCAACTCACAAATCTGGAAGTGACGCCCTCTTGACTTTGATTTGCATCCACCCTCCTTCTGGTCTGAGATAGATTTTCCTATGCTTTTGTTTTAATCTTCCTTTTCTCCTGAGTGAGGTGGGCGAGGAGGGGAGGTGGGATTACAATCCCACTGAGGGCCAGAGGCACCCAGGGGATTGTGGTGTGGCCTGAGGGGACTTTCCAGAGCCCTGCGGGGCCCAAGAGCAGCACCCCCAATCCAGCCCCGCCGCCCCCCAGGCTATGCACCCTGCCCGGCAGGGCTGACTGACCCCCCCCACCCCGCCCCGGGGCCCAGCAGGCATTCTCTCTACTGCAAATTACAGCAGGCACAAAACTACAGCTCGTGACTCTCAAGTATCACCTTTTAGTTTGCACATTTTTCCACCAGCACGTAATCCCCTGAGGGCAGGGTCTGTATCTAACCCCTGCTAAATCCGCAGGGACCAGACGAGGCCTGGCGTACAGTGTGGGCTCGAGAAATACTTGCTGAGTGAACAATTTCAACTTCAGACTGTAAAGAGCCAGACCTACCCTACCTACTCATTATCCTTCTCCTTCCTTTATCCAATTAAGATTGACACTGACATGCAACACATTGTCTCCCATGCACAGATAAGAGAGCGGTGCACACCCCATACAGGAGGGTCACTGCCACATCTGGCGTACACAAGAAATTTACCAGGATGACTACTCTCACCTTTTGCTCTATTACGCAACATAAAAGGAAATACCTAAGGTCAGTACTTTAAGGCAGAATCTTGCCTTCGGGTTCACACACGAGAGCAAGGAAAACTGTCCTGCAGAAAACCTTACTGTGTCCTCTGTCATTCGCGATCTGGTTTACTATGCAGAGATGGGACAGGCTGCCATTAACAGGGCTGACCGCTGGCCCGGGTGATCCTAACTCCCCAGTCAAAAACCACTCCCCGATCAACTGACCTGATCATGCAGGAAAGAGTAAGTTCGGGGTCTCTATCACCCTGGTCCACGTGCCCCCTTTGAACAGCTTGTGTCTCGGAGCCTGCGTGACTGGTATGGGGCTACTGTAAGCTACAAAGATCCTTGTGGTTCCTGGGTGTCTTTAGTCGTTAAGCATCTGCCTTCAGCATAGGTCCTGATCCCACGGTCCTGGGATCAAGTCCCACATCAGACTCCCTGCTCAGCGGGGAGCCTGCTTCTCCCTCTCCCATTCTGCCTGCTTGTGTTCTCTCTCTCTGTCTCTGTCAAATAAATAAAATCTTAAAAAAAAAAAATTCTAAAGATCCTGCCCAGGCTCTATCTCTTACTGGCCATGGGACCTTGGAAAGTTACTCAGCCTGTTACCTGGGATGTGGAATTGTAAGGACATTGGCCACACAGAGGAGCCGAGGGTGACATAGAGAAGGCGGGGGTCTTCCCTGCTTTACCCTCTCTGCCGTAAGCAACTTTCACGCTCCTGGATCTGATGGCACTGGTGCTGACAACTGCTCCCAGCCGTGTCACACACAGCTTAATAATGGTAAGGAAGATATAAAATAGAACGGTTTCCAAGCAAAACAGTGTTACTTACAAGAAAGCTAGTCATCTAATCTCTAATCGTTAAACTGTACTTAAGTCATTTAGTTGTGAACACATACTGTCATTGCGGCTACCTTCTGGGGGAGGCTAACAGAAGCTGGACGCTCTGGAGATGGGGAAGAATCTTCCAGAGTGGGATCTGGGGTCAGCCTGGACTCAGGTCGAAGCAGAGGGTCCTCCTCTCCAGCTCTGTCCTGGGCTGAAGGACAGGACGGGACACCCATGCTGCACCCTCCTCACCACAGGGATGCCGATCAGCCAGCAGTCACAGCCAAGGCTGGACCAGAGCCTGAGGAAGCTCTCTCCACAGCCACATTCCCGGATATAGGAAACTGGCATCCACTGGGAAGGCAATGTTGGGGCTTGGGGAGATGCCGAGGATGGGGCTCAGCGAACACCCCTCCCAACCAGCCTGCCAATATGCTGCCGAAGGTCTCTTCTGAGGGATTTTAGCCCAGGTTCTACTTGTCCAATTTAATTCAGCAAATGCATACTGAGCTCTTTCTGCATGGGAGGGCAGTGCTAAGTGCAGAAAAACGTATTTTTACTCTCTTTGACTTCTTCTGCCTGGCTTGATGCCAGAGACATGCGGCCACACTTTAGACATTTGTGCTGTTGGGACAAGGAGACGTTTGACTTTCTTAACTTCCCGAACATCACCACTCCCAGGTGGTTCCTACAGGAGGCAGGAGGCACAGAATTAAGAGTGCTCAGTGATGCTGGATAAGAATCGGGGGCTCTCAAAGTCCACCTGCAGGGTCGAAGGGGAACTGAAGGGGAACGTACACCCCACCTGCTCGGGGGCTTGACTTTGGTCATCGAAAAAGTACCCGGTGCTTGGGGAAAGTTTCATTCTCTTGAAAAATTACCATGTGTGTTTTTATAAATATTAATGGACGTAGCATTAGTTTCTGTTGACGTCTAATTAGACATGTATTAATTTTATATTGCATACCATTTGAAATGTGCCAGAGCCCACTATAGTAAATCTTTTTCTCAGTTCTTAAACATTTGTGTAGGCCATTAAGCTCACAAATCATGCCTACTGGAGAAAATAGCTCTGGCCGACATGTGACGGATAAAATGCAGCTAAAGGATTTTCTTTTATCAGGAAAAAAAAAAAAAAGATTACATTCTAAAGAAAACTTTAGGTGTGACAGCTTCGTAAGAATTCCTGAATATTTATGAACTACAATAAGCCAGAAATTGGATTATTTAACCAATTAAGTAGCCAGTTAGTATCAAAAGCAACTTTGTAAAGGCACTTTCAAGTAGTTCTTTGTAAACCGTGATGTTTCCTGTGGGGACCCGGGGGTGCGTCTGCATAGGAACTACGAGGAGCCCTGCCGAGGAGCAGCCCCTGCTGAGGAGCAGCCCCTGCTGTGGTGCAACACTTGTGGAGGACCAGCCCCTGCAGAAGACCAGCCCCTGCTGAGGAGCAGCCCCTGCTGAGGAGCAACTCCTGTGGAGGAGCATCCCCTGCTGAGAAGCAGCCCTGGCAGAGGAACAGTCCCTGCCGTGGATCAGCCCCTGTGGAGAAGCAGCCCCTGCCGAGGAGCAATCCCTGCAGGGGAGCAACCCCTGAGGAAGAACGGCCCCTGAGAAGCAGCAGCTCCTGCAGAGGAGCAGCCCGAGGAGGAGACCTTTGGAGGAGCAACCCCTAGGAGGAGCAGGCCCTGCAGAGGATCAGATCCTGAGAAGGAACAACCCCTGAGGAGGAGCCCCTGTGAGGAGCAGCCCCTGAGGGAGAGCAGCCAGAGGAGGAGCCCCTGTGGAAGAGCCCCTGTGTGCAGAAGCATCCACACTGGGTTGATGTTCAGTTTCGCCTGCCCCTCAGGATGGGACCAAATGAGCCTCCTTTCTTCCATGGAATGACTCTATTTTTCTATTTTTGCTTCCCTCTTTCATTCACTCCTTTCTTCACTCAACAAGTATTTCTTGAACAACTGACTACCACACCTTTATTGTGAGCGCTGAGTCTTGTCATTTCAAATCCTGGGAGGAGGTGGAAAGACAGCAAAGTAAAAGGGAATTATGTACAGGTCCTGAGTCTTTAAATTTGTTCCTCTTCCTCGATTATCCAGAGGTGACAATAATTTGTGGCCTGTGGAACTCCCCTCTCCTTCCTGTTGTTAATTCAAGAGCACCTTATCCCATGTTAGTACTGTTAGCGTGTTGCAGGAAAGAGCCCAGGAACCTCAACTAAGGTCCATCTTCTCCCTTGAACTCAAGGTAAATTGATGTGTGAGGACATTAACCTGCCAGCCAAAGCCTTCACGATTCACAGACCCGTGACCCTTATGACAACAGAAAATTGAGATGAGACAGTTTTCCCTCCCTAGAACCCCCATTAGTTCTCTCCAGTGGCTGGACTAGTGTCCAGTGAGCCACTTGGGACCATGCAGCACACCGGAGGAAATTCAGGAACCACAGAAAATGCCTTACAGCGTAGGAACCACAGGCACTGCCCCGCCGAGTCCCGCCGAGGAGACTGCTCTCATCGAACACGGACGCCTGTGACAGAAAACAGACGGGCTGGTCAGGGGCCCTTCCCCCTCCTCAGGACCCACAAGCCAGGAAAAGGTAAGGGGAAGAAGATTGACCCTTGAGGAGAACAGTCCCAAACAAATCACGGTGGGAGACATGCAGGGAAGGCTTTCAACCACCTTCACAGGCAAAGAGCTGAGCAGAACAGGGTCGGGCAACATCTAAGAGAGAAACGAGGTTTCTGTCAACCGGCGTGCGGTGTGCTCTCCGGCAGGTCCTTGAAACATATTACTCTGAAAATCATCCCTTGCTAGGCAAGAACTTGGTAAACCAGACTCAAAGGGACCAGATAATTAAAATATACTGAATTTTGTCATGGCGTCCTCATACTTGATATTTAGAAGATGACATTAATAAAAAGTGACTCTGGAACAAAACACCATGTTCATCATAGGCCAGTATCTCACAATTTTTAAAAAAGTGCTGATTATAAAACAATATTTGATTAACTTGAAAATCCTATATAACAAAGCCCTGAGGGTAAACGGGAGTTTACAATACCGTGAATGGCCATCTCAAACTTCACCCAGCTTAAAGGGACCTCAGCTCTCCCTATGTCCCTTTAGAACACAGCTGGTCTGTTCAGCCAGTTACCTACTATTTCTTACGTGTGAAATCAGATAGAAATTCAGAAACCTTTTAGCAGTACAGCATAACCACTTTGTTTAGTGTAAGCTTCCTGCAAGGCATGAGTACCTTGTATTTAAAACTGGAAATTTCCGAAGTGATACAGCACGTTACATTAACATCTGTTAAAGTTACCAAAGCAATAAAAAGCCATCTTTCTTTCTGCCAGCAGATTAAGTAAAAGATGTCGCTGCTCCATTCCTAGCTAACAGTCCTATGGGAGCACATGTCTTCTTGGAGCCTGAAGTGGTATGACAGCTATTGTCAGCTGCAGGGAAAGAGAAAACCCAGATCTGTCCAAAGAGCCTGATGGACACCATGGCATGGGTGAGCGCCACGTAAAGGGGTAATTCGCGAGCAGCTGGGCTGTGGAGTCGTACATCCGTGCTCCCAGAGCAGGTGTGTGATGGAGCAGAGTGCGCATGTGCAGCAAGGCCAGGGGCGGGGCGGGGGCAGGTCAGGGGACACTGGTGGGGGCTGGGGGGGTGGTGCAGAATTAGGGGGGCAGATCAGGGACTGTGACGGGGTGATGGGGGATGAGGGCAGGGGGAATGGGGGATTGGGAGGGGGTGAGCAATGGGGGGATGAGGGTGGTGGCAGGTCAGGGGACGGGGTGTGGGAGAAGATGGAGGGATGGGGCAGGGCAGGTCAGGGGATGGGGATAGGGGCAGAGGGATAGGGATGAAGGCAAAGGGATGGGAGCTGGGGGATGGGCCAAGAGCAGGTCAGGGAGCTGTGGTGGGGGTGACAGGAACAGGGGGATGGGGTATGAAGGGGAATGGGGGATGGGAGGGATGGGAGGATGGGGAATGGGTAGGTGCATGTCAGCAGACAGGGGTGGGGGAGGGTCGGGGGGAAGGGGGGCAGCTAGCACACGCACCCGGTAACTCCCAGCAGGCCGGGCAGCACTGCACAGATAGGAGGGCTGGAGGACGAGAGCAAATGGCAGGTTTTAAAAGCCTTGAGAAAACAGTGATGAATAATAGCGACAAGAAAATCACGATGCTTTCAGTGATCATGACAGCCAAATTATCGCACAACAGTTAGAAGGAAAAAGAAGTCGACGTAGGGCTTGTGTTCTCAGTAAATCGACAGATGCAAATCCAACTTTAAAACAGTCATGGTTCCCAGGATCTCTGAAATGGGACTATTTTCTAGTCACTTCTTTTCAGGCATTCCTGGAGGAAAGGGTCAGGGAGTGAGACAATGGTGACAGGGTGCAAACACCACAGGCAGCCAACAAACCCACAACTCAAAATCCTGGGTTAGTAACGCACTCAGGGGTGTTAATACGGAAATATCCACACAGAAGGAGCGCAATTTTATTTCCATCAAATGATCCCAGTCACGGTCATGAGGATCCAAAAGGAGCCGTCAGACTGTGCCAGCTGGCCAGGGCTGGCAGCTCCCTGGATCAGGGGATCCACACACAGGTGGAGTCATGCCTGGGCGGGCAGGAGCCGGAGCGAAGGGCAGCTCCTGGGGCAGCCGGGTCCCAGGTCCAGAGTAGGATCATGACTCATTTTCAGGCAGAGGGCATGGAAGCCCGCAGCCAGGGGCCCCCCAAGCCGGTCAGGGAACGTGCATGACCAGGGGCAAATCACTCAGCAACGCAGGGTGACGACAGTTCAACCTCCACCATGTGATCTGTCCCGGACTCTGACACAGAGATCCTTGTGCACAAACGGGACTCCTATAGGCACACCAGGCTTGTAAAAACAGGAAATGGAGGGGAAACTGAGCCAAAGAACTACACCATTCTCCCACTTCTCAAAGATGGGGGAGTCAGATTAAGCACAAAAGGCTTCCAAATTGCTTCCTGGACACATTTACAAGAGAAAAATATTTTTAAAGAAACAAATGAAACCCCAAATGGGGAACAATTGCTGGAAAAGGAGGAGAGACCCAAGAGACCAATTCTTTGAACCTGAACTTTTGGAAATATACGTTTAACAGAGCCTCCTTTTTCCTCAATTCCCTTTTTTCTATATAAGGTCCTAGATTATTCTGATAATGTTTTAAAACACTGAGAAAGATCTTAGCAAGTTAGTCTAGCCAAATAAAACGTCTGCTGAACTCTGGGGTCGACTTCAGATAGAAGAGGTTGAAGTGTCCTCGTATATATGACGGGAAAGCGAAGGGATCTGCGCAGAAGGGAAGAGGGAGGAAGGGGGTGATGAGGAGAACAGACCCGGTTTCCACTCTGGGTAGACAGGGATTTGGGAGCCAGGCCAGCACTGGGAAGCCCGAGGTCGGAGCAGGAGAATCCCTGTAATCAGAGAAAACGGGCAGGAGGGGGAGAAGGGCTCACAGCTTCATTTCACCACAAAGGTCCAATGGTATCATAAATTCACACAGAACCGCTTTTTTACAACAAAATCAGCAGAGGGCATGCACTTAATTGGAGGAGGGAGAAAGCAGGACGGTCAGAAGGTAATACAGTCTAGTTAATCGACAAAACTGTGCCGTGGGACCAAATCAGGCGTTCTGAGTTGACATATAGGCAAAATTAGATTTCACTGATTTTAACTGATAGCGAGACCATTGGGGTTTTCAAGGTCTTTGTAACTGGAGCTCTAAGTTTTAAAGTTTGATGAGAAAAATGCAAAATTAGGACTCGGCAGAGACATCCACCTTTACTTTATGTAATAAAATACTTCACTGGACATGATCTCTGGTGTAGGTTCCTTAGTTACTGATGTAATGTGTGTGTGTGTTCAGGATTCACAGAGGACGGGACAGATTCAGTGATATAATTCTGAGAACAACAGTTTCTCAACACTTCTGGGGAATACTACTGTATCCATTGTTTCCCTAAATAAAATGCTCTATCCAAATTAAAGTTTCCTTGAAGAGGAAGCCAGCAACTTCAGACTGCCCAGCAACATTCTACCACATGTACAAGTGTGGGACAGTCCTTGAAGATGAAGTCATTCCGTTCCAGGAACCTGATGGCCTCTGAGATAGCCTGCCATCCCTTCAAGGCCCCTAACTTGTGCCTGTCATTCCTCTGTCCAGCATAAGCTATACCCATGTGACCTGAGGGGCCGGCAGGTGGAACTCTGGAGGGTGGGAGGCAGAACAGGGAGAAGCTTTCTAATGTTCCCCACAAATAATGAAACTTGTGCAGTGGTTGGGAGAAGCCCTTTTGTCAGCCCCTCTGGGGGGCATGGAAAGTACCATGACCCAGGTGGGGAAGAAAAGTGCCACTGCTATGGCTGCCACGACCAGGGTATGGGTCTGACAAATCCAAAAAGATGGGAGAAATATTTAGAAGCCTCTTCAGTACTCCACACGACATTAACACCTTTCTGCTTTTATATTTAAATAAAATCATACCAGCCCATGTGTTGTGCAGGAACATATAGGATACCTACAGAGCATGATAATCACCAGAAGATTCTGCCAGTGGGTGAGCAAGGTAAGACCTTAGGAAGAACAAGGGTGGGGACACGGGGCTTCTGGAAAGTTCTGATATTTAATGTTTGGAATGGACCCGCTCTAATTTTGACTTCAATGCTCCGAATGTGGGTTATTTCTCTTAAATGAATTTAAGAGACTCGGACACATGCTGAACTTCAGTGAGTAATTCACATCTGCATATTAGATACCTCTCACCATCTTCCACTTTAGAGCAAGTATCTGAGTTCGGAAAGTGAGGAGGAAGTAAAGTTTTCTGAAGGACAAAGCACTCTTTGCAATAACGAAATCTTCCACCAAAATATGTGCAACACACGTAAAATTTAAGATGGTGCAACCCACCAACACGTTCGTGCTGACAGCTGATCTTATATTCAGTCAAAATTCACCAACTGGGGGAAGACAGAGGAGGAGGGAGCCCCAGGAGTTAGACTTCTCTGGCTTTACCTGCTTAGTTTTATTTATCTTTTTCCTACGTGTTCTTCACGGTTCAGTTCACGTCCTTTGTTAGGACACTTGTTCTCCCTATCATCCTATTACTGCTGCGCTTGTCTACCTGCCAGGTGGGTCTGTCTATTAGAGAAGTAAATGCTTCCAGAGTCCCTACTGGTCTCACCCGTTTATCTTTGTGATCTTCCGGACTGAACCAGTTTCCTCTGTTTGCTAAGTGAGTAGGAAACTGATCTAAACAAACAAGCTTTACTGATGATAATGGGCTCTTAAATAATTTAGAAATATTTGTGTCTGTCCCAATTGATGCGTGTCCTTGAAGTAGTGTAGACACCCGGATTTGGATTTGATTTCCTTCCCTAGTCCATCCCTGAGAAACTGCCACAAAGTTTGCATCTACCCTACAAAGTAACCTTTTTCAGGAACCCTCAAGGAAAGAATGACAAGGTTTTCTTATTTTTTCCCCCTCTTTGCATAACTTCTGATTACAAAGTATCCACATGAATCCTTTCTTTGTGTCCAGCTGAATGCAAATGTGAGTCAAGTTCAGGATAGGGGGGTGGGGGAGATAAGCCTGAATTAAATGTATCATGTTAGTTACTGCCCAGCAAAAGACTTTTAACATCCGTCCAAATGAAAATTCATAAAATAGGCATTAAAAATGAAAAGAGAGCTGAGTTCACACGCAGAGATGGCATGCTCCAAAACCTGTAGTTTCTGAAGAGAGGGTGGGGAAGATTTAAATGAGAACCAACCAGCGTGTCCTCTCTGGGGGAAGACATAGTGGAGAATCTGCCCTCACCGCTGTAGCTGGAATTCTGAGAACCAAAGAAGACATGGTAAGTGGGGAGTGCTTCCCGACTGTCCCAGAGCACACCCTGTGCCCGGTCCAAAGGCAAATACAAAAGAACACAACCAAACCAGTATCAGCTCTCCAGGAATACCAGTATAAGCTCTCTAGAATACCAGTGCAGCGTAAGAACCAAGACAATCTGCTACTGCAGAAATGCTGGACCAACTAGAGTTTCTAGGCTATGGTTTACATTTCAGGGTCTGGGTGTTGGCGATGTCCTGTGGTGTAACTCTTACTGGTTCTCTCAGTTTTCCCCTCTAGTATTATTTGTAATTACTTACAACTGTTGGTGTAAAAACATAAATAAGAAGACGCCACCTTTAAACCGGGAGGATTTTTTTTAGGCTGGAATGAAAAAAGTTTAGATGAGATGGTGTATGCCACCTGTGATAGGCCAAGAGGCTAAAAACCTCATCAGCCAGTTTCAGAAAGCCAAGATGGGACTGGGTTACCTCTCTGAAGCCTGAAAATATAATTCAAGTGCATATATGATATCTCTTAATATAATTAAGATAAAAGAAATACTGTATACACAAGTACTAAAATTTACTATAAGAAAAAAGCAAATACAGGAATAGGAAGATTTTAGTTAATTTCATATATAGCACATTTGCAAGTCATGAAACTTAATTGTAGATGTTCGCAGTTTCACTTCGTGAAGTTCCCCGTGACCTCCCTGCTAAATCTGAAGCCCTCCCCACTTCTCTCTGACTCTCCTGCCTGTGGTTCCTTTCTCCCACCACAGAGCACTACCCTGGTCTTCCTCTGCCTCCTGAGCGTACGCTATGGGCACCCGATGGCCAGTATTCGGGGACATGTGGGCTCTCATACACGTTTTTAAAATAACAAATAAGAAGCGCCTGGGTGGCTCCGTCGGTTAAGCGTCTGCCTTCAGCTCAGGTCCCTTTTCCCTCTCTCTCTGCCTGATGTCCCTCCTGCCTGTGCTCTCTGTCAAATAAATAAATAAAACCTTAAAAAAATAATAAAATGACAAATGAGGGATGGGCAGAGAGGGTGAGAATGCTGAACGTAAGTATACTTGAAAGCTGAATATACTTAATACAGACGTTATGCACATACACGTAGGGTAACAAAATAATTAATGAAAGAGTGAATATCCAATTCAACATAGTTTTAAACTTAAGGGATTCTTTTTAATAGCGATCTCTTATAGCAACACTTAGAATGTTAGAGGGCTAACATTCTAAGAATGTTCACTGGTTAAAAAAATCAGTTTTCACTCTTTCATGGGCTAGGGCTAGGGCAGGGGGAGACACCCACTATAGCACAGAAAAAAAAAAAAAAACCAAAGAAGCTAAATTTAGCAGTGTATATTCTTTAAGTTTTGCAGCAACCTGTTTGCATTTTGTCTCATGCAAATTTACTATACTAACCCTGCCAGATCTTCTATTCAGGGTCTGTGATCCATATACGTCTCCGTCATAACCATTTGTCTGTTTCAGTGAATAAAAGAAGAAACTGACGTCAGTATACAAATGAAGACACAGGCACAAATCAGCACGCAAGAATTAGCTGGGTGTAAACTGAGCTTTCTTAGTGAAGCAGCTCAGGACGACACAAATTTCAGTGCGCTCCTAGATGCATGCCTTCATGCTTCTGATCTGCTCGATGACGACTCGGGAGAAATGGGACAGCTGGGCTTAGCCCATCAGCCCAGCCAGTGTTACTTGTAACTATGGGTCACTCTAGGACTTCTGTGGGGTGCGGCACATGGGAACGGGTGCAGCTGGTTTTGTCGGCAGTCTTCCTGTTTCCAGGTTTAGGACGATGCCACGACGTCCTAGCTTGGCAGCAGCCCGAGCACCAGCCAAGTGGGCTCACGACCCGGCCTGCGTCAATCAGGTTTCTGTTCTTGGTGGACAGGTAAGTCCTTGAAAATTAGGGCCCATTATGAAGTTGTATCCAGAAGGTTCGGAAATAGCTTCTGTTCAATCTATAATGCAGTGCAAAGGTTCATCATGGAAAAGATGTTTATTGGGGGCATGTGTCCTCTACGGGAACTCCTTGTTCATCCCATCTTCCTACTTTAACTTCTCAAAATGACATCTGAGGATGCATTTCATGAGTTCTTCATATGTCCTCCAGAAGAGAGAATGATTAACTGTGTGCCCAACTCCCTTCTCTTCCTACCTCTGAACCCATGTGCCCCCAGCCAAAGCCCGGCCATTCTAGAATGGGTCTCATTCATCTAGAAGGATGTTTCTGCTGATGGAAGACAAGAGCTGTTGAGTGTCAGAGACACAGCCAGCTCTTGAGAGAGAAAACGGAAAGCAAGCCACACAACTGGTACAACTGGAAGGAGATGCAGGGGGTAAGGGACGGGAGTCCAAATTCCAAAGCAGTGCTCTATCATGAGACCTGATGCAACACGTTTGCTCCAGCTGCAGGCGCCTCCATCCACCTCCTCAGCTGTGGAAATGTGTGTAGAAAGACATCTGACTAAAATGAGTATCCCAGGGGCCTGGAGCAGTGCCCTCCCAAACTGTGTGCTGACAGGACTGCTGACAGAGCAACTGTGGAAGGTCCCTGGCACCCACGGGGAACAGGAGCATGTCCTTGTTCACAGGGTGGGGCAATGGGAGACTGGTTACCATGTATGTAGCCGCTACGGCATTCATGAAGAATAGAGAAATGAATTTCCAGACAGATGATAGATCCAGATTCATGAAATCTTGACTATCAAACAACATATTTAGTTATAACTCAAAAACAAGTCATTTTGAAGTTTCTAAGTGAAACAGAAGAGTATGTATTAATCCCTCAACTTTACATTTGAAAACTCTCTGAGTCACGTTAAAACATCTCTGAGATAAATCTGATAGTAAAAAAACCTTCAGAGATAGGCAGGGCTGTTACTTGATCTACTTTCCTTTCCTCTCACAACTGACAAGACTATCTGAGATGGAAATGTGTGTCAAGGACTTGTAGATTTCAGACCACAGTCTTATTTTTTCAGTAGCTGTTTAGAAACACATTCCTGGAAAAAAATTAATATAATAATAAAGGCTAACATCCATCAATTTTAGATGACTTTGACTTTACTAATTAGTGAGGAAGTAAAACATATTACATATATAAACCCTTTGGTTTCCACTGTTGTTGTATGTACTACATACATGTACTACATACATACTACATACATGCTGCTCTGGACAAAGTCTTCCTTTCGGTCATCTCCCTTCCCATGTTGCCTGCAGCACAGCGCAGAGCATGGCGAAGGATGGGAGAGCAAGTGCACCCCTCATCTGTCCCATTTCTCTTCTATCCTTCGGTGGCCATGCAGGAAAAACTCCCCCTTCACGGTCTTTGCGGACATCCAGCTTTCTGTTGTAATGGAATTCTGTCATAGGGAATATATTCCTAGCATGAATTCTCAAACCTGTAGGATCTCATTGCCATCCTGCTAGGACTACGACTTCTTGAAGAACACCACCAACGCTCTCCTCTTGGATAGTTTTTATGTGTTGGGTTGGGATGGGTGGAGCTATTTTTCTATGCAGCGTAACAGGATAAGTAGAGTTGAAAATTAACACATTAGAATAAAAAGCCCATAAACAGCATATTAGCTTTATCCAACATCAGGTCTCGGAGGGTCCATCTTCTTCACTGTAGAGACTGCTTTCTCGACACCCCTTACTGTGCAGACCATGAGCATCGCCGTGGCCTTGTGTGCCCCTGACCTGGGCAGTCAGAACAGCTAAAGCTGGGGCGGGGGATGTGCGCTTTCCTAAGCTTCCTGGGTGAATTTTACACACAGTAACACCGCGCAGTGCTGCTCTCAGAGAGAACGAAATACCGAAAAGAGTCACAAATCCGCATTCTCTGAGAGTATAAGGCAGATGCAAGAATGAACGCCTTATTGAAGCCAGTGAAACCAGGGTACCTGTGATTAGTCAGAGTGCTACCCACCACCGTGCCGTTGCTATCAAAACATCAGCACACTTCACGATGACCATGCAAGCAAATGTCACCCGCCATCTTGTTTGATTAATGATGTTAGATCATTTTTATGCTGTCAAAAGATCACACCCAAGGGCAGGAGAGACGGGAAGCAAGATAAGAAAGGCCAGATTAGAACTCTACAGTGAGATGTTTGATGCACTCAACTTAGTTAGAAAACAGAATGAAAGCAGAAAAGAAAAGCAAAATCCAGAACGTATTTCTGACTATTGCTAACACATGTACTCATTCATTCCACCAGGGACTGGCCCTTAAGTACAGCTGCCTGTGAGTTTAAAGTAAGAAGGCTAAAAATCTGGAAGTACGCTGCACAGACATTGACTTAGACTGAGAACGGGAGAGCTGCTAGAATGACAGGGTCACTGTCAAGTGCTGTGGTAGATTCTGCAATGAGCACTTCCTGAATCCGGTTACGTGCCTCCGTCCTTCACGTTCTCCACCGAGGTCTATTGCTTGCCAGTGGCTGAGGCCAAGCCCAAGCTGGAATGCCCGGCTCCTCCCTGGCAACGGGCTCCTGTCTGTAAAGCAGTGAACGGCAGCCCGTCCGGGAGGATGGGGATGGAGGTGGGGGCGAATGTGCCCCGTGCAGAAATATGGCACTATTCATTACCATCTTCAAGGTAAAAAAGTACATTTTAAAACCAGAAAGTTGCTAAATAATTTTGGGAGGCGGTGGAATGAATGAAGCACAAAACGCTTTCAGAAAAAGTCCTAAGAAATGAAGTAGTGCTAGAATCTGCTAGAATCACTTTTTTGCTCATTTCTGGCGAGATCTAATTTCTCTCCTTTTTGGAGTCACTGAAAGGTACAAGTTTTCAGATACACAGGTTTTTCTGCACAAAAGGTGCAGACAGACAGATGTAAGAAGGGAAATTTCAAATTGAAATCTAAAGGTCTTGTTTTTGGTACTGGAACCAAGGTCCTTCTAAAACAGCACATTTTGGCAAAAGAGCCAGATCGCACATTTAATACAAATGGATGTAGATTTAAAAATAATGTATTTTTCATAGAGAAAATGACCTTAAATTTAATCTCAGAAAGGAAATGGAGAAGTTTTGGGAATTCTCAATTTGATCTGTGTTCCTTGAAAGCAAAACACTCTAGTCCTGCCTTGGTATCCACAGCTGTTAGCACAGCATGTGGCAAATAGCTGGTGCTCAAAGACCGTGCAGCAAGTGAGTGTGTTCAAGCGCGGAGCCGGACCCTGAGGATCAGAGACACACCCAGCGGGCTCTGCAAGAAGAGTGCTCCCTCTGGTAGGTATACCTGCCCTCCCGCCCATGGCACCGCCCCAAGGGGGCCTAGGGACAGCATGTGTGTCTTTCTGGACAGAGACATACTTGGCTTTTTGGACAAGAACACCCACGAGATTAATGGAAACACTACAGGTTATGCACTATTAGGATCACGCCTCAGCATCCATCCAACCATCTCACCCAGGCATAAGGACCCCCATACTCCAAGTCAGGCTGCAACTGTCAGCAGGAGGGTGGAAGAAGAAAAGAACAGAAAACAGAGTTGCCAAAATCAATTAGAAAGCTAACACAAATATCAGAAAACATAAAGCAAAAGCCAGGTAATCTTGAAATCTTGACAAAATTACATTTTTACATGACTTCCAGGATCTCATGTGTATTAATGGAAGGGATCACATTAGAACGACAGCCATCATAAAATCCAGTAATGTTAAATAAAACTTGCATGGCAAATGTTGCTATAATTCATGAAACCTGAAGCAGTCTGAGCAATCTTACTTCCTCTTCCAGAAGATACATTCTATTTATATTAAGCAAAAGGTAAACACATGCATCACCATCAATTTTTAAATAAGAAAACTTAAAATCTTATGATATCCAAAATCTAGTTTACTGAGAAGAATGCCCATGCAAACACTAGGAAAGCAGAATTTCCCCCTGATTTTTAAGGGTTTATCATCACTGCCAGTTGAATGAAGAAGACCTGTATTTTGAGATTGTCAAGAAATAAAAGATATGATCTTTGAACTTTGCAAACTAAAGATTTCAGAATATTAGCATACATTAAAGCAGAACACACTAGCCCTGCAAAGGGAGTGGCCCACCAACCAATGGAGGCCAGAGCTTCTGGGCCCCCAAGGGCTTGGGGATGGATGCTGTCACCTCCTCACTGCTCTGGGCTTGTCCTAAACCTGTCAGAGTTACGAGATCTGACTCTTACCTACAGGATCCAAGTTCTCAAGGTCTGTGGTTTTTTAAAAAGTATTATGTCTTTAGACCAAGTATATTATGGGAAAGAACAGTGTAGGAAACCAACTGGCTTAACACAAGAATCCTGTCCACTACTGATTTTCCACTTTCTCTCTCTTATTTAATGTCCAGATTATGGGCCTCTTCCATAAAATTTTATACCTTAAAACAAATATGCTTGAAATCTTGGCAGAGAGTGGTGACTAGCAAAGAAATTTAACTCATGTCTGGTTAAAGTCACTGAAAATGAAATGAATGCTGTAAACAATGATTTTAATAGTTTTAAACTCTTTGGGGTCAGGAATCTTTCTGAGAATCTTAAGAAAGGGACAAATTCTTTTCCTAGGAAAATCCAAGTACACACAAATCATGAAAACAATTCCAGGAAGATCAGATCTGAAAATGGGGACTGTGACAGATTTGGACTCTGTGTCCAATTTCTCTGCTGTTCTCTCCTAAGCCTGCCTTAGTCAGGCTTTGTTCTCACCACCTCCATCAAAAGTTTCCTCGTTGAGTCCACCGATGTCCTCTCTGACGCTAAGGCCAGTAGTCGGCCCTTAGTCCTATGCTTCCTTGACCTCTCCCCTGCTCCTGGAAACAGTGTCTTCTCTTGGTTTCAAGGACTCAGGCTTCTCCTGGGCCTGCTCAATGGCTGTCATTTCTGTGTCTCTGCCACAGATTCTGCAAACTCAGGTTTGCTTTTATAATGTTTTGGTTACATAAATGTTACTTCCTCCAACTTGACTCTTGTCCGAGACAAGATCTTTGAAGAACTTATAACCGTATGGCTAAGGGGAAAGTTTCAGCAAGCAAGGAAGCACTTTCACCATCTTCACATCTGAACCATTGTTTTCCAGCAAAATCACTGTGGATCTGCTTTGGGCACTGCTAAGTCCATGACGTTGACGGCCCGTCAGCACAACAGTGAGTTACCCTGACAGTTACTGTTGTGAACAGCCAGATGAAATCCATATTCATGGTGCATATAAATTGTCATGGTGATAGAAACCAAGCATACTGCTCCAGACAGTTCTTAAATGAAACAGAGTGGCTGCATCGAGACCCACTTCCTACCCGCAGTGACAGCAATCGTAATCCTCTGGTAAAGAAAACTGACATGCTCAGACTAAGGCACTGACCTAAAGTGCTACGCAAAACACCATTTCTCTACTTCACTTCGCAAGGCATGCAATGTTTTCAAGTCTCATTAGGATTACTGGAATGTTGAATGTCTTTGTTTTTCGCAACCATCAAGTTGTCAGTGACGAAGAGATTTCACCAAAGCTAACCAAAGGTAACACTCCTGAGGGCGAGTGGACCTGGGGCTCATGGGTCCAACCCATGCCAATTTCCCACCAGGCAGCCTATGGCAGCTTTCAAGGAACTACGCAAGAACAGCACTGAGGAACAGTCACTTTATCTGAGATGCAAATTTGACCGGGAGCATGTAAGCAAATGGGCCCCTTCAACCCACCAGCATTGCCAAGACAACTTAATCAAGGCGTGGCAGTGCTGTGTTACCGACGAATATACAGACACTGTGATACCCACTCTTGGAGAGAGACACAACAGAGGGACCTCTGTGTTCTCTCCGCAACACAAGGAAACACCCCACCGTGGATTCGATTTCTCGGTTGGATTATGGGGTAATGAACAGGAAATCTGAACACAGGGATACAGAAGCAAAGACCGCCAACTGTACACTACAGCATGCAAACCCGATCATTCTGGTTACTGACCCTCAGACTTCCACGACTACCCACTGACATGCGCTCATCTTCATCAGAAGCCTAGTGAAAGAAAGGATGAAAACAACCATGAAGCACAGCATGTAGAAACCCATGTCCAGCTTTCAGAGAGATATGGCTGATCTGACACCACAGCAGTGGGGCAGATCCGACGCCTCTGGAAATCTCAGGGGACTTGAGCCTACCTACATCATCCCCAAATGGGCTTTGTGTGTGCACCTCTGTTTACAGAGGGCTGTTTCTGGATGATATTGCTTTAACTCAATTTCACTGGTGTATTTTACTTTGCCGGTAATCTACAAACACAGCCTCAATGCATATCATTCTGCAAATTATTCGTGGGTATTGGATGGCAAAAGAGCATTAAGACTGTCATGAATATATATTAATACTCAGAAATTTCCCATTCTCCCCTCAGAAAGTTAGGTCAAAATGCTAAAAGTTGAGTCCACAAATTTTAGGTAACAGAATCAGTAGAAGTTAGTTTCTTTTGTAAGCATCACTAAGATATATCTAATCACATATTTCAGCCACTACAACTATAAATTAGACTTCAAAGTGAACACAGTACTAACCGATGTGTTTCTCCTGGATCTACGTGAATAGCGCTCAGTGTCTTCCTATCAAAGCAACGGAAGAAACAGTATTAAAGGTCAGATACAGACACAACAGAAGGCTTAGTCTGGTTGTGATATAAGACAGTATTTCTGATATAATGTCTAATCAGTATTTTCTTTGATGCCATTAAAAGGCTTCAATTGAACCACTGAGGAAGGATGTTCTCTTTGGGCATATGTAAGCACACAAGTAATTGGCATATTTCATTTCCGCTCTAAAAGTGTGTAGGGGAGAAGATGGCCCTTCATTGGTTCCTAACCTCTGCAGGTCCAACTCAACCTACTTTTCCGCCTGCACTTGGAACCTTATTCTCTTTCCTTTGGGAATCAGAAGATAAATCACTACCATAAAAGCTCCAATAAGGACATCATCCCATCTACTATATTTTGTGCATTCTGAGACACACATGGTTTTTCACATTTGGGTATTTCTGAAGTGGGGGTATATCTTACAATCAAAGTTGTTCACATTATAATCAGCAGTGTGGTGGTTTTTTTTTTTTTTCCCTTCTTTCTCAGTGATATAGAACACAATGAGGCATCTTTTAACTGGGTCTTAAGATCTGACGAAAATACATCCGCCATAGAAGCTTAAAATGATGGTTTACACACACTAAAGGCTGAAAATAATCATTTGTTTTAACAGAGAAAGTACACACTGCTTATATTTCAGGAACTGTTCTCTTTCCCATTCTACACAGGGGTCTAAGATATTAGGAGGTGATTTTACATTTCCTTGGATTGTTTATGTGTAAGGGACATCAAACATGACATTTCCACACTGGCCAGGTTCTCCTTTGCTAAAAGCACATAACGACATCCATGAGGCCACTGGGTAAGTGTCAAGGACAGGAGGAGGTGGGAGGAACTCATGTGGATGAATTAATGAGAGAAGGAGTGGGTCCACGTTCTCTTGGGGCCAGTGGACAGCAAGGGGAAGGCTCCCCCTCCTTGAGCCTCGTGCCTCGGGCCCCATCTTCTCCTGAGTGTGCCTAACGGAGAGCCCTTTGCCCAAGGAGACAGGGCGGCAGTGGCCCTGGAGAACATAGACACTAGCCTGGAGACTCCAGGAGTGAGCAGCTACTGCCCAGACCAGACAAAAACGCCGGCCAGGCCCATTTCTAACCCAGCTTCATCCGGATGTAAACAATCCAGCCAGATGGAGAAGTCCCTGGAAGAAAATCTCTCAGTATTAAATTATGGCACAGCAGGAATCTATCAATATAATTGCGGTGTGTAAGAATCAAATTATAAACCATGTCAGTTTCTTAAAATTGTAGCCAAGGCCTACCATCCACTGCTCGATGTCGCCCCATTTTGTATCCAGCCCATAATATTTCTAAAGACAGAAGGGAAAGAAAATTAGGCAAGACGTGAAACGGTAACCACGTAAGAAACTGTTCTGACATGCATTTCCAAACCACTGCCCAAGCCACACAGGGAAGGGAGCATGCCGTCGCACAGCTGGGAACACCACACTCGGTGCAGGGTGGGGAGCTCTGGTGGAGAGACTGCCACCTCCCACCCCTCCCAGGCAAGCCCAGGGACACAGCAAAGAGCAGGAGCTGAACAGGGCAGTGCAGCCCCGGTGTGAGGCTGTTGAAGGCTGCAGAGCAAAGGTACTTGAGCTGCTGGAGCAGCGGGAAAGCCCAAGGGACAGGGAGAGAGAGGGCGCTGACCCCTCGGTCTCTGGTGCTCTTGCTCCAGCTATCTGGTATCTACGCTAAATGTAGGCCCCCGAGAATTTACGTTCTTTGGATGTCTTCATAGCATGTCACCGATGGAAAGATGGCTGAGTGGCTAAGAAGAGGGCTTGGAACAGAAAAAACATTTTTATGGTAGCAGGTTACATTGGGCATTTTCTTTAGCTATAGTGCCTCCATGGTTTTACCTCGCTTGTGTCAGCCCCAGTGGTCCAAGTTAAAATTAGAAAAGCAGATTCAGAATGGCTACTGCCCTTGCTAAATATAGTAATTCCCGACAGGCAGGAGCCCAAGTCTAGTCTCAAGTGATGGGGTCTTGCTTTTCTCTTCACTTTCTCCCCAGTTCCAATAGAAAAAGCAAGGAATAAGCAACCCAACCTTCATGTCATCACATAGACATGGTTTTCCTCTTTATAAATTTAGAACTTTATAATAAAAAAAAAATTAGGTGCTAGAAGTCCAAGACAAATTTTGAAATTGTTTTCTAATTGCCAAAACTTGCTGCTATGTTTGGCTCAGTTTCAATTATTTTGAAGGGTGGCCAGATTTTAAATATAATGGCTCTCCAACGATCTCACCCCTTTCTCTTAAAGAGAGCGCTAAGCAGAAAAATTGAAGGGGAAAAAAACTGGAGGAAGCATTCAACCTTTTCAAAAATCTCAACCAATACAGAAATGTAATATATCAAAAGTACATGAGCCGAGTCTTTTTCTGTAAGTCACTTTCCTTACTTTGAGGCTTTAGCTTCAAGTTAAGTGAAATGCAACAGCTTAAAGCCATTTTACATTCAATCAATGTCGGGCCTGCTCACTTTTGCAGCCAAATTCTAGGTTTCTCACTTGTAAAATGTGACGCCATCAACCCTCTTCAGCTCATGGCTTAATTACAAAGATAGAAAGAACAGGGTTTGTTGTTGTTGTTGTTGTTGTTGTTGTTGTTTTTAAGGGGGGGGCCTATACAAAGGCATAAAAGTTATTTCAATTCCAACAGAAGTCTGTATGATCCGTTTTTCTATTTTCATATTTCCCTTTTTTTGCCAATTCTATACTTATATCAAATACCGCACACCATCTCTTGCTCTTTTTGTGATAAAAATAAGAAGGAGCATTCAAAATCTTCCATCTAGTTCACGGTGACCTTACCCATCACTGCTATGCCTGCAGCTCTCCCTCCCTGAAATGATGGGGTCCGTCATTTCAGCGAAGGAGAGCAACCCCCACCCGAAGCAGAAAGTGCAACTAACTCCAAGTTCTGATGTTAGTGAGCAGGCTCCAAAGCCAACAGCCGAAAGGAAAGCGTACAATGTTTCAAACGTAAACCACTATGATTAGCCAGTGAGTCATGCAGAGGAAGTAAGAGCCAGACCTACAATACAAAAGGTGCTTGACTTTCAGAAATAGCTGAAGTTCAGTAGAAGAGAAGCCATCCCACAGAACCGCCAAGTGGGCCAAGAGAGATGTTTACTGCCTCCTCTTCCTTTTCTCAAATCTTAATGATAAGGAAAGCCCTCCCTTCCCTTGGCACATCTATATTATAGAAATGTGTATCTGCTTTTCTACTGTGGACTTCCTGAGCTCCCTTCTAGAATTACTTTGTACACAAGTGAACATTCTGACAAAAGGTCTAACATTGTATCCCTGGTGAGTTACTAAACAGAAAAATAATAGTGATCTGGAACTAGAAAGGAATGAACCAAAGTGTAAATTACTAGGCAGGGTCTCTTTTCTAGGTTTTGGGCAGTCTGTTACAGGGCGGGTCCCCTAGCTTTGCCAGCTTTTGCCTCTTGTTAAATTCTTCCCGAGACTCTCTAAGTATGTTTGGATCTAGCTTCAACATGCATTCCAGTACCAGACCCTGAAAAAACTAATAAAGCACAAACAGGTTCTGGCGCCCACTTATCTGATTTCTCTACACTCTCTGGACAGTAGTTATGCGGACTGGGGGTGGGGGACAGGAACCAAAGGCAATCTGGTATTGTAGCCAGTAAAGGAATCCACCGCTGGAATTTTAAGTTTAAAAGGACCTGGAGATTAACCTTTTAATGATCATCTTATTTTCATTTTTCTTAGCTGCTCTTAAGAAAAAAAAAATACAGTTCTTCTTTATCTACAAACTAAATAGATTTATAAAAAGCACTATGATAGATGTCAGAAGTAACAAACGAGATTCAGGTTTGGTAAAAACTCATGGTAGACACACACTATAAATTCTCAGGGAACTAACCATCGCTCCATCATTGTTGCTGAGTCAGGAGCCACTGATCCGGTTGTTTCCGACCCTACTTTGTGTGCCCGGCCTGCTAGTGTATTTCTTGCTAAATCTCAGCTGCTTCTAAATGCCCAGGAAATAGACACGCACTTTACCACCCTGAATGTTTAGGGATGGAAGGCAAACGTTATGGGAGTTGGCTATTGTTACCATTTTCTTTTTTTCTACCTGATTTTTAAATCAGTATATGCCAATCTCTCAATCTGTGGTAATCTGCATTGAGATTTTAAGATTTTTCTAATAAAATCATATGGAAGGGTAATCTTTTTCTTTAAATATCTGACTTTGAAGGTTTCCCCAGTTCTGAAGTGTGATTTTATTTTATCTTAGAATTCGTTTTTTTGTTTGTTTGTTTGTTTCTTCCTCAAAGAAACAATTTTCTAATTCTTTGAGAAAAGCGGAGATGAGGAAAATATTCTGTGGACAGAGGTACGTCTGATGGTTACTTTTTCTGGGGGTGGAAATAGGGACGACTTCAGCATTCTTGAATAAACCAATTCGTAAATAAAGCAGTAAAAACTTCTACATATTTTCAATGAAAGGCATTATTTCTGAAAGGTGACCAGGCCCTTGGCAGGAAAAAAAAACACAAAAAACAAAAAACAAACCCAGCATGCAAATTAGGAAACAAAGAACAAAGAGCCTACCTTTTGAACCTGATAGATCTACAGAGAAGGGCAAAAGAAATAAGAAAAGAAATATGAAATCCAATTACAGAAGTAGTTACATCAGAGAGAAAGGTTCTCTAAGTCCCTGGAAATGTGAATAAAAGCAATACTGGGGGGGAAAAAAACCCCAACACTGAATAATGGTAGAACACAAAAAATGTCTAAAATCTCATTGAAAGTATTATTAATTTCCTGACTCATTTTACATCTATTTTAGATACAATGGTGAGACCCAGGCCCACACACGTGGGTCTCTGCAAGAATCCTGGTGTGATTCTAGTACACTGAGTCCATGTAACCATTACCAGCAGTGGGGAAAAGCACTTCATCTTCAGTTCAAAACTTCTCTGCACAATGATAAAAGTTCAACTAGAAAGTACAGTGTAAAGTCCACCGGTCAAGTTCCCAAGAAAGATGCTTTCCTGATTCACACAGGTATGAACAACGCCAGGAAAATGACAGGTAAAGAAGCAGCAATTACTAGAACAGAACTGAGACAAGTTTTTTAAAAAGCGTATTATCACACACTGACATATTCATTTGCTTCAGATTTTTCTCCTAATCTTGCAGTATCACCAGGTAAGACTGAGGTATCAGGCTCATTCATTCATTCATAGAACAAAACATTTGCTGAGTCAGGCTTTACTCAAATCACGGCCAACGCTTGGCATTTCTAGTCTTACATGGGTGTGCACACGTGAACGTATTCAACATTACGACCACAGGACACAGAGTACTGACCACGAAAACGCTTATCAAGTCAGCAGCAGTTAAAGAAACAGCCCATTCATCGGATTGGCTGGCTGTTCATCACCATGTTGTTTCTACTAGCTGAGGTCCTCATGCGAAGTAAAAAGTTCACTCAGAGTTCCCAAAGAATAGCTACATATTATTCTTCCCCAACAAATCCACTCAGAAGGAGCTCATAACCCTTTCACGCAGCCCTACAGCACAGCGAACACAGGCCACAGTCGGGTCTCTCCATCTACGTGAAGAACCAGGATGGAGAGAGCTAGGGCCCGCCATGGGAGGGCTGGGCGGGCCTGGGAGGTTGGGGTAAATCCACGGCCAGCTCACAGGCCCCATGTCCTCAGGGTCTGTGGGGCTTGAGGACAGATCTGCACTCCAACATGCTGTCTACTTGCCTTGTCTCCGTCATGGGGTATCCCAGGCACTAGTGTCGCTCCAACCATAACCCACTTCCGAAACCCCCAACTTTTGTCACCAGCTTCCCCCTTCCTGGCCTCCAGCGACAGTCCACCTCCTCCTCCAGGGAGTCAAGGCTCTGTCCACCTTCAGCAGATCTGAGCTCCCTCTCCAGGAAAGCCTCGTCCCTGCTCAGAAACACCTGTGTGAAGGTGGATGGCTCACCCCCAGATGAAAACAGTGATCACAATTCTCACTTTTTACACCAAAGTATCAACCCTACTAGTTAAACACTGGCCTTGTGAAGCATATTCATTTCCACTTAATCAACAACTTAAAATGGCAGTGCCCTGGGGCTATCAGATTGTATAACCTCAAATCGAGTTAGCTAGTTCTAATAATAGGCCCAGAGATGTGATATGCAGAGGGCGGGCTGAGACAAGCGTCGCCTGTACACCTTCCTGAATTCTTAGGCCCTGTCAGCTTGCCTCGCTCCCCCCTCTAGTGGTACACACAAACGCTCACGTGTGCACATGCATGTCCACAGGTACAGCCCCCCGCCCCCCGGCTCATCTCACATCAAGAAAGAGCTACAAGAACAGCCACGGCTTCTGTGTTCTCTCTAACACTCCCGCTAACAAAGCTGCCTGTTCTGTGTTTATTACACTGTGCTTCCAAGTCCGCACCAACGAGAAAACTGGTTTCCCGGGGTATGCAGCTGCTTATAAACTGATCAGGGGTTACATGCATCTTCCCTTTTCCCCTCCGCTGTGGGTGCCAGCCAGCTCCCACACTACCTGAATCCCACGGACTCTGCCCTAGGGTTTTCTTGTTAAGTATCTATTTGATTTTAGCTATTAGGAGGACCACAGCCTGACAGCTGCTGGGCCTACATGTGAATCTTGGCTCGGCTGTCTTCTTAGCTGTGGGGATAACTGCTTTTTTTTACCTGTAAGTGAAACTTGGGCAGAGTCCCTTGCGGACTGTAAGTGACAGCACCCAAGTGTGCTGCTGCCCCGGGCCAGAGGCTCTAGGATGTCCCTGCCATTCCCCTCTGCCCCACCTCTCTTTGATTAGCAATAAAATATACATCTATTTTAGCTTAAACCTTTCAGATCCGCCCCCTTTTTTTGAACCAACAGACAAACTTTAAATATCAATGCTCTCATATTTCCAAGACCCTAAATTTCTGCTAGCAACAGCGTCACTTGGGTGGGTCAGTGCTGGGCTGAGCTAACCAGATCAGTATAAACTGCAGGACAGACTGGGGCGGGGTTGGGGGGACTCCCTCCATGCTTCACCCCTCCCCTGACCTGGCGGTCATTGTGTTCTGCCCTATCCCACGTGCCACTCCCTCACTCAGCATCCCACAGGCTGTGTGGACCAGGGCTGGCTTCTCTGCTCCCTCCCTGACACATACAGGGTGTCACTGTGCACACTAAGAATTCATGTCATGGGGGCTGGTCATCAGGCATGTGACTGACCCCAAATGAGAGTCTGAGTTCCGCAGAGAAGGAACTGTGGAGATGCCTTCACTAACCCACTGCCAGTCCGTGGGGTCATACGGGGAGCAGGGTGAGATCACACAGGGAGAAAGGTGAGCGCAGGGGAAATTGCCTGTGAGATCATACATGGAGCAGGGTGAGATCACACGGGAGGAGGGTGAGCACAGGTGAATGGTCTGTGGGATCCCATAGGGAGGAGGGTGAAATCACACAGGGAGGAGGGTGAGACCAGAGAGGGAGGAGGGTGAGCATGGGTGAATGTTCTGTGGGATCACGCAGGGAGGAGGGTGAGGTCACACAGGGAGGAGGGTGAGCACGGGTGAATGTTCTGTGGGATCACGCAGGGAGGAGGGTGAAATCACACAGGGAGGAGGGTGAGGTCAGAGAGGGAGGAGGGTGAGCACGGGTGAATGCTCTGTGGGATCACACATGGAGGAAGGTGAGGTCACACAGGGAGGAGGGTGAGATCACACAGGGAGGAGGGTGAGGTCATACTGGGAAGAGAAACCAAGAAGCTGGTGCTCACCTGGAGGTACTTTCTCACTTGCAAATTCAAGCTTTCCTGCTGGCCCCTCAGAACTCAGTCCCACACATCATGGAAACCCACGCCTGCATCCACAAGCGCCTCTGCCGTGTAGCAGATTGATGAGACCCCAATGACTACCTGCTTTCGTGTGAGACGTTCCTTAGAATTCGACTCAAGATACAACATCTGATTTCTAGGAACCGCTTCCATGTTTGACAACAAATGTGAAACATGCTATTAAAATGGAGAGTGTCACAGTTCTAACATGTGTCAACCGAGGCCAACTGTGGTGTTTCTGACCAGATGCCTGGTTTTAATCAGCTTTTCTCTGCAAAGCTGAGCTCCTCAACTGGCACCAAATGCCGGGGATGGCCGTGCTGCCCAGGAGCGGGGCTCTGCCAGCGCACAGGCCCAGGTTCCGATGCCCTGTGGCAGGGACTGGGGCCTCCCCTGCCCCGTGTGCCCGGTGGGGGCTTCCTGGCCTTGTGAGGCCACTGTGAGGAGCCACAGGAGCCTCGGGAGCAGGGGGGCTTTGCTTCTAAAGGAGGCCACTCAAATAGTCATTTTCGTGGCTCAATTCTTCACTTTTTTCTAGATCAAGCAAGATTTTTCTACATCAAGCACTTTTGCTAAAGCACTTTGTGAAGCTCAGCCACACGTTATCGTGCCTGTATTTAAATGAACTCCACCCATCACTAAGGCCACAGTTAAGCTAAACATAGCATCTGGAAAACAGATGTGTATGTACACACTGCATAACTCATTCTCGTCTTGGTTTTGTGGAAATTTCACATCGTACTCTCGGTGTGTGTCAGTTTCCCTTACACCCAAGGCTGATGATAAAGTTAAGATTACTGACACCATCCTGAGCACCCAAGGCAGGGCCCCAAGATGTCACCGTCCCCTCTTTCTCTCTCCTTGGGGTCAGCCCTGCGGGCTCCAGCAGCGGGCTCAGACGCAGCGACAGGCCACCAGACACACCAGCGCTGCTGGGATTCGGTCCACCGTGGAAAAGCTGGCAGAGTGGGAACATGTGTCAGGAAGATCCCCCTATAAGGCTTTCACAACCTTAACAGAACAGGGACCAGGGAGGGGCCTGTTGGAGAACCAGGGAGTAGATTAAAAGCGAATGAGCCCCAAGAGGGCAGCAGCCGTTGGCCCTGGACCAGTGGTACAGCCTGGAGGCAAAGCTGGAGACCCAGCCTCCAGACACCTGCCCGCCCCCCACCACCATGTTCCCTTCTAAAGCGGGGCGGGGGGCTGCAGGGTCCTGCAGACAGTGGGTGTGCAGGTGTCTGCTGGATGAACGGAAATATTCTAACGGGAACCAGATACCAGGCGGTTTGAAAAAAAAATCTGAAAAAAGGAAAAATATCTATTTTTAAAAACCAGTTCAGGCTAAAAGAACTTTTCCATTGGGTGGTCTCTGATCACTATTAATACCAGCGTCTGAGTTGGCAGAAGCCGTCTGCTGTCAGGGTGGCTCCTACAGCACAGGGACAGGGTCTCAGACAGGTGTGGGACAAAGTCTATGGGCAACTGGACCTAGACTTTCTCTTGACCTCCTGTTCAGATCCTTCTCTCCAGAGATGTCCTGAAAATGCATCTCTGAAGGATCTCTGACCGTCGGTCCTGGTGAGACGCATCCCCTGGAGCTGATGACGGGTATCCGTCTGGCCCCCAGCCCCAGTGGGCTGAACCTCACCCTTCACTGAGATGACGGGAGGGGGTGCATCCCGGTAGACATCGGTGCGACGGGTGAGTCCAAATCACCCACGCAAAAATTCCAGAGTGCCTATTTCTGGTTTTAAAACGACGACCCTGATTCTCAGGGGAAAGCACTGGGAAAGTGCCAAACCTGTGCTTTGCATAAATTAAGAGAAAAAGTACAAGAAATCCAAGTAGAAGTTAATTCTACAGGCAGAACAGCTTTAAAACTAGAACTTAGTTACAACTGTATTTATATTTCTAATGAGGGGGGAGGATGTGATAAATTACCTTCAAATATTTTAGGCTTTTCCCGCATTGTAGACACAGGACGAGAAACACCTAAGGCATTGTAGAAGAGCCGCTGCTTGCCCTTCGGCTCAGGTCGCTTCCCAGGCCCCGCTGGAGGGTGGTGGGGCCCTTCTCTCAGGAACCACGTCCCTGCGTGTCCTCATCACTGGGGGCCCCTCAGCCTCCAGCCACCAGGTCTGTAGTTTAACTCTCCTAAGTAACATTCTGGCCCAGAGCTTCTAGCAATCTGTAATCCATTCTTCAAACCCCATGGAGGAGATTTCTTCCCCAAATTCAAATCTGGCTCTGCCTGAACCCGTTCACCCCGGGGCATGCTACCTCCACATGCAGGGCATGGCAACAAGGCAACAAGGAGCACCTCAGGCAGGTGCGGCCCCCCATCGCCCCACCCCAGGGAATGTGAGGGTGAGCGGTGGAATCCACAAGGATTTGAAGAGAAACTGGAAACGCAGGTTTTTATTGGAAATCTTATGTGCTTTATAAACACTGGCTCAGCTTTAAAATTCTGGCTGTGCAAAATCAGCCCTGGGAAAAGCAGCTGGCTGCCTCTCTCCGGCTTGGCAAATTCAAATGTTCTGACCAAGAGAAGCCCTGCAGTGGGGCCTGGTGTGGATGCTCCCACAGGGTGCAGCCCACAGAGAACACGGGTCTGCTTCCTTCACCACGTGGACTTCAAGGTCACAGAAAAGTTCACTGCTCTAACCACAAGGTCAAGAGTCCTCGAGCTGTCCACACGACCTAGGCTGTAGCTCAAGATTACGAAAATAAGTAGCAGACTACATTAACAGGTGTGTAAGCCCATTCCTGTCCACCTTCCCTTGGTGCGCGGGGGGTGGGACGGCAGTTTCTTCCCAGCTATCCCACCCATGGTGTATATTCTGTTTTCTGTACCACATGTGGGCTTCAGGCATCACGAAACTTACTAAAACAGGTAAAAGCCTCAAGGGGAAATATTTTTAAACAAAATAGTTTGGTTAGTTTAAAAAAATAATATTCTGTTCTTTCACATTTTAACTCAGAGTCTTGAGATTCTGGCTGGACGGTTTGACCTTGAGTTTCAGAACCAGCAGCTCTTGGCTCCTTTTGGCCAGAAGGCTGGGCTGGATGTAGGCAGGCAAGCGGCTGCGCGGGAGGCTGTCTCAGGACCCAGCAGGTCGAGGTCTGGGACAGGCACGCCTGGCATCCGTGCTATGCGCACTCCCTGGCCTGACCTTGAACAAAAGTCACAGGCACGGCGCATTCCAATCATGAGCACTGTCAAGCGGACAGGTGCATCAACAGCAACAGGTGTCTCTGCACCTGCACGCTCTACCCAAAATGAAAACACCTGTGAAAGGAACCTGCACAGAACCTCGAGCCTTACCTCTTTCTGCTGCCGCTCCAGCTCCTTCATTCGGATCTCCCGAGCCTCGGCACGGGCCGCACGCTTCGCTGCCAGCCTTGCCTCCGCCTGAAACACATGGGGGATTTTATTAGCAGACGGATCAGTGGCTCCTTTCGTGTGAACGATGAGGCCGTTAGTAAGAGACTTTGTTCGGAGTTTAATAAATACACCGTAACACATCACAGGCTCATACGAGTTAAAGGTCAGCAGAAATGACAGTAGCAGTAGTTACTGCAATAAGGATCACTACCATTTACGGAGCCCTTACTAAATGCCAAGTTGGCATGGTTGCTGTTGTTGTTTATAAAAGACTTTATTTACTTATTTGAGAGAGAGAGAGAATGAGCAGGAGAAAGGGCAGAGGGAGAAGGAGAAACCAATTCCCAACTGTTCAGGGAGCCCGACATGTGGCAATCCCATGACCCTGAGAGCATGACCCTAGCTGAAGGCAGACGCTCAACCGACTGAGCCTCCCCAGGCTCCCCTAAGTGGGCACAGCTCTAAGGACTTTATAAATATTGTGCCACATACCCCTTACAACAACCCTCTTAGGTAGATATTATTACCATCCCCCAGTTTATAGAGGAGGGAACTATGGCACAGAGAGGGCACGTCACTTGACAAGGTCACACAGCCTCCAAGTGGCAGGGCTGGGCAGCGTGCCTTCCTCTGGAGCTACGACAGACTACTGCGTAGAGCAAAGCATCAGAGCTGGGCAGGACCATCCCTTTTACAAAGCAGGAAGTGAACGCATAGAGAGGCTGTTGGACCTGTCCCAGGGCACAGGGCTGGGACTCTGATGCTACATTCCAGAACTCCTGTCTAGTCTCCTCTCAGGACACCCTGCTGCCCTCTGCTCCCCCTCCAACATCCACGTGCCAGGAAGCTCATCTTTCCTCAAGACAAGACCAGAGCAGGATGGTCAGTGGGTCCTAGCTGTTGGAAGCATTACATGAAAACAAAACAAAACAAACTGTTTCCATGTAACTATTTATCAGCTTGGATAGCTATTTAGCCAAACTGTACTGAAGACCATTAAAACACTAGACCAGGGCTGACTTGTGCCCTTGAACCTGCCACTCAAACACTGCTTCCCACTCCACAGATCTTTCCATTCACTGTTTCAGCCGGTATAGCAAACGGCTCCGTGAGGACGTGGTGCACATGCACCAGGATTTGGGTTTTCTGGTGTCAAGCAAATTCCACCTTCTTTCCACTTAGTTTCTTTGGGGGAATGAATACACTTGTAATTCTTCCACTGACAATTCTGTTGATAGTTTTAGGTGTTAAAGCAGGGCCGGGAGAGGCAGCCAGAGTTCCTCTGGTGTGGCCAGTGGGCCAGCAAACAGGAGGTGGCCCAGGTGTCATCATTCAGCCTGTCCCGCAGGACCAGGCTCCCATCAGTGATGAGGATGCCCGGGTCCCCCATGCCACACTGATAACTGACTCACAAATTTATCTTGTCTGAATTCGAATCTGGGTTGAAAATTGACCAGAGCTCATCTGTCAGAGACTGGCTGGTGTGTGGCCTTATAAGGAATTTCTTCTGTAACTTGGTTCATTCGTGTGGTTCCTCTATCAACCCGAGCCCAGGTCCCTCAAGTCAGGGGTGGTGGGGGGGGTCAAATTTCACAACTGCCTCAGAACATTGATACCTTGGCATCATTTTCAATTTCCTAAACCATGTTACACCGTGTGAGGGGCCACTCGGGATCTAAAAAGATCCAGCAGAGCTCAGGGGAGGGGAGGGGAGGGGAAGGCTTGTGTGACTGACACCCGGCCACGCTGAAATGCTTATGGCCGCTTGGCGGGGCCAGCAAGAGGACTAGGTTCACTCTGAGTGCAGCCTGCCTCCCTGCCTTGCTGCAGGAGGCCCGGCCCCCTGCCTGCTGGCTCCGGGTCTGTGTCTGTGGTGGTACAGCCCAGGCCGCCAGAGCCACCAGCTTGGGACCAGGACTGGGGGGCAGGAGAAGTGGTTAGAAAGAGAGAAGGGAGGGCATGCAGGAGGGTGAAGGGGAGGGACGGAGCGGGAATGCGAGAGACAGGAAAAGGGACAGAAGAAGGGAGGGCTGCCGGGGGGACACAGGCAGAGAGAAGGGTGGCAGTCCGATTCTCGGGGGTCCCCAAGATTCCTGCCCTGGTGCACTTGCTCCACAAAATCCTCTCCCCTTGAGCGTGGGCAGCACCGTGAGTGGGAGTGATGCCACTCCTGTGACTAGGTGATGTCTCAGGGCCAAAGAAACACAAAAATAATTAAGGTCTCTCATCAGCTGACTTAATCAAAAGATAGATGATCCTAGGTGGGCCTCACCTAATCAGGTGAGCCCTTTAAAGAGGATCTGGAAGTCAGACAGACTCTCCTGCTGGCAGCAAGAGATAAGGGGTCTGGTGTCACAGGGCTAGTGTCTCTGACCTGAGGGGAGTCTGAGCTGCATACACCCATCCCGTCCCGCCCTGCTTTCCTGTAGCTCTGCTTGGGATTGGACCAACGATCCCCAAGGAGACCACCTGGGTGAACATGCAGTCCCTGACCCCTGGCGTGACCTCCCACCAGACAGGCAGGCTTCCAAAATAACATCCCATCGGACCACACAGACTACATCTCAGCTACCCCGTGGGCCTCCCTCTATCCCGGAAGTGGCTCCCGTCTTGGCCCACACACTCTTATGGTCATCAGGTCCAATCCAGAAAGTCTATCCCGGTCATGAGGAGAATGGCACCAACAGACTAAAACCCACCAGAGCTCCGGATCTGAGGGACCCAGGCCTGGATGATAAAGGAATTGTGGGAATGAACCAAGTCACAGAGTAAGTTCCTTATGAGGCTGTATCAGCTGTAGTCACTTGACCTTCAGTTCGAATTCAGAAAAGGGCTAAACTTCGCAGGCAATACGATTTCAAATCGTTGTGATTGCTGTCTTGTGAAACACCTTCCTCTCTTAGGGTTTGCATGGGACTCACACCCGGGAAGCGAGACGCCTGTCACATAGGAAGTGGTAAAAATCATGTTCTCTTCTGGGAATCCAACTAATTAAACACCAACAGACACAGGTGTTGACATTTAAACTGGTCCAAACACCTCTGCATGACCAACTTCGTGAGCACACGACTGTGACCAGCATCACAAGCCTGGTCCTCGCCCGAGAGGCCTGAATGAAAGACTAGAGAGTCTGACGATACAATTTAGCCTGAAACACTGATGTTACCAAGAATATGAAAGAGCCCAACCCAGAGCCTAAGAGACCATGATCCCCCAAACGATCCCTGTGAAGTCACCAGAAAGAAATATGATATGATCAAGTCATGAAGTGAACAAAAAATACAAAACAGCTCTGGTCCACCACGGTGATAAGCAAACAGGAATTCATTCCCCACAGCGTTTCCTGCGATGCCAGCACTGCCCTCCCATTGCCTCAGGCCAGGCAAGTGTTTTTGGGTTCCCCCCATGCCGTGGGCCAGTGCTTCTGTGTGCAGGACAAACCCATCACCACCTGCCACCTTTGTGAACTATAAACTCACTCTTGAGGTCACAGCTATGTTACAGTTTGCAGGAGAGTTTCCAATGCTTACTTTCACTTCTGCACTTAGCTGGTGGAGAGGGACAGCAGTTACTGGTGATGGCCAGCCCAGGCCCACCCAACCTTGTAGCACCTTCAGACACAGCCAGGGAAGGACTTGTAGATGGTGGTGTGGGTCCCCAGTCTCTGGAGGAGACAGCCAGGGCTGGGGAGTTGGAATGTGGGACAAGGTGGAGAAGCCAGAGAGTCTGGGTCATGGGCCCTAGCTCTCAGCCCCTGTAACTTCTGGAACCTTATCTTGAAGGAATGTGAAACCACTGGAGGGTTTTACAAAGGGACATGGAGGGGCTGACCTCTGTTTGAGAACTAGCACTCTGGCTGCAACGTGGGGAACGGGAAGGGGCTGAGGGAGGCAGTAGGGAATCTAGGAGGCGGGCAGAGGTTGCTTTGAGCCAGCAACCCTGTGAACCTGAACAGGTGGGATGAAGCAAAGCAGGGTGGCCAGAGGGCATTGGCGGGGTGCCAGGAGCCTAGGGTCCCAAGCCCGTGTGTGCCAGCAGCCAGAGAACCCTGGTGAAGAAACCCCACGTGCCATAACCGATGCTTGTGACGCACAGGGTACTTCCCCAAACCTGGACGGGACATCCTGCCTGCCGACCCCAGCTCGCCCCCCAGGGCCTGTGTGGGGCTCAGAGTCAGGGAGTGCCATCACCTCAATCCCCCTAAACTCCCCAACTCAAGGAAGAGGGTGATGGTCCATCGAAACTGGAAGGACGGAAGGGGGTGGGTTTGTGGGATGTAAGACAGAAAGTCCAAAAGGCACAGGGATTCAGAAAAGCAAGCCTGGAAAACAAGACCGCGCACCCTTCCCAGCAAGCAGTCCACTGCCTCGTTGTTCAGCTCCCGTGTTGCTCCTGGGATGCTCCCTGATTGACCTGTAACCAAGCTCGTTCTGTGACCTCAGGGCACCTCCCGGGGTGGCAGCAGGGCAAGCTGGCTTGGCCCTTCCTCCCGGTCCTGGGCTGCCCCCTTCCCTTCCTACAAGAGCTGACAGGAGACGGGCGTCAAGCCCTCAGCATCTGCCTTCAAGGGCTCCAGGAAAGGCAGAGCTCTGGGCCGTAAGCCTCCTCCTGCTCCCCACCACGTCTTTGTTGAGATACATACTAAAAAATATTTAAGATGAAATCCATCAGATCTGCCTTCTAATAAGTAGGGGGGAGGGGGAAGGGGGGGTCTTAAGGGATGTAAGCTGACAGTGGCCGGGCTGGCTGGTGGGCCTTCTATCACAGTGTGCACACCCCCCAGAGCATCAGCACACCTGGGAAAGAGTTAGAGATGCAGAATCGCCTCCCACCCCCAGGCCCTCCCAGTCAGAGTCTCTGGGATGGAGTCCAGCCTGCTGGGCTTCAACATGCCCCCAGTGTATCCGTGTGTGTGTGGGGGTTGGGTGCTGACACTTGCTCAAGTGTGGGGAACTCTGTCTTCTGTTAACCCATCTGTGTTTGGGTATGTTTGACATTTTTCATAATAAATAGGAAATTTTTAAAAG